ACGTTTCCAACCAAAGCCTCTATATCCAGAGTCATTAGTGATTGCTGGGTATTATCTGTGAAATTCTCAAGGAAGTCATCAATCTTTATTGTGCAACTCTTTTTAATCAGTCCACTTGTTTTCTAACAAGAAAGAAACAAAAACGCTAGTTCAGTATAATGACCAATCTTATGCACTGCCCCCTTTCCTGTAGCCACCACGCCTGCCTTTAAGTTACACTTCTTAAGCCATATGGGTTTGGGTTTTTTTGTGCTACTTAATGAGAACTATTTTTTTAGAAAAAAACATTGAGGAAGTCATTGTTTAAATGCCACAGGTTTCCCACTACTGCTGTAAAAGAAGGCCCTAAACACAAAAGTGCATGCTAGAGCAGTGATGGAGAACTGGCATCCCTCCAGATGTTACTGGACTTCAACTCTGTTTATTCTGGAAAATTGGTCCAGCAAGATCTGGAGGACCACATGTCCCACACTGCTCAAGTTTCGAGTCTTTCTAATGCACTCTGTTCGAAGGCATTTTGGAAACTGCAGCTAGTAAAAAAACAACAAGGCAGACTGATTTAATATCTTACATTAGCTGCAGATAAAACACATGCCACCTGTTCTTCATGAGTTCTGGTGGTTGCTGATTGGTTTCTAAATTCAAGGCGTTGGTACTCAATTCAAAAGCTCTTTATGGTCTAGGCACAAGATACCAAGGACAGTTTCTCCTTCCTTACATAACTTCCCAAATGGGAATGAAAACTGTTTGGAAATTCCACCATCCATTAGAATGCTGCCCCAAGATGACTTTTTTGGGGGTTCCCCCTTCAGTTTTAGAATCAGCTTCCTAACAGAAGCTTGCCCCTTTTACGTAGGCAGTGTCTTCCTTTGCAGATTGTATTTTTACAATGTGTTCTTTTTTTTTTAAGTCGGCTCAGATTTCAGCTTGTGTGTCCATCATCCGTTTTCTTCTTCAGAGTCCTATGATTTTACCTGTACTGCATAAATTTAAATTTTCCTTGTTTTGAGAACCGTTGGGATTGAAAACCAGGATTCAAATAAATGAATGAAACTGAATCCAAGTGGAGGTTAATGGGGGGTTTAAAATAGTGCAAAACATTTGACATGAGAGTTAAATGGTTTTCCTAAGGTAAAGATGGGGAACTTGTGAACCTTAAATTGTTAAAGAGCATCTTTCCCATCAACCCCAACCAGAATGGCCAATGGCCAGTAATGATGGCAGTTGATGATGGCAACATCTGGAGGGCACAAGATTTCCGATTCCTGCCTTATGGGCTCAGAGTGCACATGGAAGGAGGTTTGATCTGGTCATCTCTGTAGACCAGGGGATGCTCTTCCAACCTGGCGTGGGCAGATTTTCCAAGCAAGTAGAGAAAAATGGTATCATCTTTAGAGGACCAGGGCTATTTCTGCACATCCATTAATTGTCAGGAGAACACTGAAGTCAAATTACAGCTTATAAGGGTATGACCTGCAATCAACTCAATCACACAATAACAGTAAGATGTAAAAATAGCTAACACCAATTCAGGAAGACACACACTCTTTCCCCCTCTGTAGATTCTAAAGCGTTGGTAAAAGTGATTGCGCTCTTTCACAGCATTGGTTTTATGTCCTTCACGTTCATTGTAGATTTATTGGATACCTTATTTGGGTCACTTTTTCTTCCCGATTTATGAGCCTGCTGGTAAAGGATCAAGGGTGCAGATATATATTGCTAGATATGAATGTTATTAAGGTTCAAGGGGGCAGATATGCATTGCTATTATATTAATGCTACTAAAACCAATTGTACAAAATAGTCCATTTCACATTCTAGTAGATAGAATGGGAGAGCATGGAAATACCATTAATACCAAAATGTCATTTTTTAAAACGTATTGAACTTTTCCCCCTATAGTATTCCAATCTGTGTGAGTTTTATTTTGGGCAGGACGTGTGTACATGTTTCACTAAAGTGTTTGGAGATACACAAAACACTTTAGGTTGGGGGCTTGTGCCCATTTTAATTGCCCCATTGAACCCAAACCCCTTTGATGTTATATACCTCAAACCATCTAGAGTCCAGTTCAATCATTCTCTCCCTACACCAAGTCTTTGGCCTTCCAGATGCTACTCAACTCCATGTCAGGATGCTGTCAGCAGCTCTCGGCTGGTTGCCCAGGAAAGTATAAAGACAAGGAAAAGTTTCTTTTTTATTTCAATCTTTACAGAGAGAGGCTATAGAACCCAGCCTCGACTTCCGGGGTGGCGCCATCGGTAATGGCGGACTCCCTCTGATCTGGAGGGACCAGCTCCACGGGAAACGGGTCTTTTCCGCTACGGCGAAGCGGGGACCCTTTCAAAAATCACAGGCGGATGAAGCCTGTGACCATGGGACTCAGCGGGCACCTTTAGCGCCCCCCAACCCGCAAAGGAACCCACTAACGGGCTCCGGAGCGAAGAGGGGGAAGTGGCGCGGTGCTGAGAGTCAACTGCTTCTTCCGTGGAGTGAAGCCTCACAGCCGTTGCCGGAGAGCGCTGCCTTTTTCCTGGGACAATTTGGCTTTTAAAACAATCACCCGCGAGTACTTAAATTTCGGACAATTGGACTCTAAATAAGGACTTGCGAGTAGAATGGAAAATTGGACTTAAAAGTTTATTTCAATTTGGCACCGAAACGGGAAGGTCTAAACAGGAAGTCAGCCTTCCGTTTCTTTGTAGATAGATTAAAGCAAAGACATGGCAAACTAGAGTTCAGAAAATCACTTGTAAAGGATTAACTTTCATCATTTAAAATTGTTAAACCCCCTTCGGAAGCAGGAGAAGAGGGGGGACTTTTTCCGGACTGTTTAAACCTGCAAAAGTGAGTGTAAAGCAAAGTAACTTTCCACCGTCTTGATCCTGGAGCGGGGTGTCAGGACTGACGTTTTTTGAAGCTCATTGACCAGAGACAAACGTTTTTGACAGATAGCTAAAAGAAGAGAAACATAGTGATTCCATTGTTCCCCTTCGCATTTTAAAGGAACAAATATTGACAAAATATCTGAAAAAGGAAACTTTGTTACTAGATCTGTTTTTAAAAGAAAAGAACAAATAGAAGTTTTTCCCCTAGAGTGAGCCTGTGAAACTGTAACCAATTCTGAATCGGGGAGCTCGCAGCTGTTACAGATTACGATCGTGGGAATAGATTTTTGACCTTGCAGGACAATGTATTCAGAAGCTCTGCTGTGTGCTCTCTGTAAAACAAGTGCCCTACTGGAACAGCTACATGAGAAGACGGACTTGATGACTGGTGCGATCAGAAATTTTGAACAGGCAGTTGGAAATTATATGGAGCCCACCCAGGAATTAAATCAGGAGTGTGCCCTGACAGAACAGATGAGGGAAGAGGATGTTGCTGAATCTTGGGCGCCAGAGATGGAGGGAGCTGTGGCCCAGCAGGAACATGAGCTTTTGGATTTGACAAATGAACTTGGAAAAGCCAGATTTGGAAAGATAAAGTTTGGTTTGGTTTGGAAATGGGGGGTTGGATAGACCCCCCTATGCAGGGATGTTTGGACTTTGCAAGTCTGGCAATGGGCCGTGAGATGTTTGGGGTTGTGGGGGCTCTTAATTTTGGAGGGACTTTGAAACATGTTCTTAAATACCACATGGGGTCTACTGTGGACTATGAAAAAGGGGCTGATCTGTCGAGAAGGGTCAAAAACATTGTTAAGCTGGAGTTCCCACGAGTGAAAGGAGCAGGAGACAAAGGAAAATACAGCTATAAATTTGAAGAAGAGCCGCGGAAGGGACATGGAAGTGACTTAAGGGCCTCTGATATAAGATTACCAGGTTAATGCGCTAGATTGACGGTATAGAAAGGACTGACAAAACCCGGGACCAGGAGGAAGAGATGCTGGATGAAGATTGGATTGTTTTTTATTTTTCTATTAGGATTGTTTTATAAAATTGATGAATGTTAGAAAAATGTTGGAACGAAATTATTTGGCTTTAGCAAAAATGTTTAAAGAATTATGTAAGAATAATATGGTTATGAGAAATTGGTAAAAATAAGATTTAAGTTTTAAGCTTTAAGGTTTTTTATAGTAAGATAAGATTAAAATAGATTAAGGTAATGTAATGACAGAATATTATGAAATATGGAAAGGATTTGCTGCAACAATTAATAACTAGGATACAAAAAAAGGGAGGAGGAGGAGGTCAAAGAAAGAAGGTAATGACAGTTAAGGATTTTAAAATATTGGATTTGTTTTTAAATGTTTGTGGTACATTTTTGTCTTTTGATCGTGTTGTGCTATTTTTTGATTCTGATTTTTATTAATTTGTATTGTTTGATGTGGTTTGCTTTTTCTTTGCTTTTTCTTTCTTTTTTTCTACTTTGTTTTCTTTCGTAATTCTAAAATTTTTTCAATAAATATCATTAAAAATATATATATATAGAACCCAGCCTCTTGGATAACGGTGGTGTCCCAATTGAATCTTCACCCCCTATCTCTCCCACTTCTTCATTCGTCTCTTCCACGGATGCTCTCTGCCTTTGAGCTCTTTGCTCTCCTACTTTTAAGGCCAGGTTCTGAGTGATGGAGGGGCTGGAATGCTTTCTAATGACAACGTGTCAGCTGGGTGTTGTTCTGGCTCATCCATGATTTCCCAACTTTTCACCTCATCTGCCTCTGAGCTGCTACCTCCCTCAACCCCCTGTTGTAAATCTATACTGTCTTCCTCTTCCTCCTCCCTGGAAGTGTCAGGATGGGGAGGAGGTCTCCACCATTCCTCCTCTGCCCAGTCCTTAACAATTAGTTTTCTTTAACAGTGGAAGCAGGTTTTCAGAATATACACAGCTCTTCTCCAGGCTTTGATTATGAGAGCAAAAATTAAACATCCAATAGTCTCGATAAGAACTGGGTAGTGAGGTTGATGGTTACTTGGTTGCAGAAGTTTACTGGCCATTGCTGTTGGCATGGAGATAGTCTAGGTTGAATGCAAACATGTCATTCTGATGTCATGTGTGATGTCACAAAGAGGATATGCTTGAAGTCTTGGCAAAGCCAGAAACAGTTAACAGTCAGACTGCATCTCAGCCCCGTCAAGATGGATCTCCATAACAGGTGATGAATAGTTTTATTTGGGGGATATATTAACTTTTACTACTGGGAAAAAGTTTTAGATTGGTTTGCCAGTTTGTAACCCATCAAGTTGAGGCCAATAGATATACATTCACAGCTCTGTATACATCAAATAATCAACTTTATGTGTGACTTTGGGACGGATTCATACATACCACATTTCCTTTCTCAAGAAAAGTTGGAAGGTGTGTAATTTGAATGGCAATTGCTCTCTGCTCCCTGCTGTCAGGGTGCTGTCAGCAGATCCTGGCTAATTGCCCAGGAAAGTATAAAGACAAGGAAAAGTTTCATAGTCCTTTTTAATTTCAATCTTTACAGAGAGAGGCTATAGAACCTAACCTCTTGGATGACAGTGGTGTCCCAAGTAAATCTCCACTCCCCATCTCTCCCACTTCCTCATTTGTCACTTCTATGGGTGCCCTCTGTCTTTGAGCTCTTTGCTCTCCTACTTTTAAGGCTCACCGGGTTCTGGGAGATGGAGGGTCTGGAATGATTTCTAATGATAACACCTCAGCCAGGTGTTGTCTGCCTTTCTCATGATTTCCCAACTTCCCCCCTCATTTGCCTCCAAGCTGCAACCTTCCTTAACCCCTTGTTGTAAATCCTCCTCCTCCCTGGAAGGGTCAGGATGGGAAGGCGGTCTCCACCATTCCTCCTCTGCCTAGTCCCTGACACTCCAATATCATCACCCTTGATATACATAAACTGTGCGGCTGAGAGAAAAAGAAATTTCTTAATCCAAACCCCCTTTGGTTAGACTGTAGCAACATGAGACGTGTATATAAGACAATTTGCATATGGGGAATTATTCCATATAAATAACAACCCTAAATGCATCTGTGCAGCAGGTTCTATTGATTGCAGTGAGATTTACTCATGAGTAAGAGGATTTCAGCCTGAAACTAGTTAGTCAATTTTATTGGAAGCTATACAATCCAGTTTCCCGCCCCGACTGCAGTAGCACAGTCAGAAGGTGAATGACAGTGCTGGTATATTGCACTATAAATAAATAATAATGTTAATCTTAAAGAGAGGGGGAGAGTGGCAATTATAGCTTAGCCTTTACATTTAGCGTGCATAGCCTGTGGCATTTTAGAATCCATTGGTGTATGAAGGATAAATTGCATTCTAAAGCTGTTGTTCTTAGCTTATAATTTAGGCGAGAGTCACATATACGTTAAATAAAACGGAAAGAGGGGGAGCGTACATGCAGGACCAGATTAAAACAACTGGAGGCTCTGGGCTGGGAGACAATGGGAGGCCCAAACTTAATAGCATCTGACCGTGAGAAACAAAACTTTCTTCTTTTCTTTATCTACTCAACAAAAGTAGAACATTGCTGGGGGAAAAAATTGTTTATAAATTTATAACCTTTACTATATTTGCAAAAGTATGGAATTATTGAAGACACATATAGGGGAATCATATCTTTGTTATGACATTATGTCATGTACGAAGTCGGAACAATTTCTTTCAAGCACTTTTGGATGCAAAACTATCAATTATATCATTAAAATCAGTTAAGTCACAGGTTATCATTTTCTGTGCAGAGAATGCTTAGTGCAGACAACCGATCTTGGAAATTGTTACTCTGGAAATTGATATCATGCCAGTACAGTTTGTAACCATTAAACACAGGAGCAATCTGGGTCCCCCCCCCCAAAAAAAAAAATTCTCCTGGAATTTTATTTGTTACACACCTTGGGGGCTGAAATTTTCTTTTTCAGGTGAGCTTGTTTGACTTACAGGTGGAAGTGCAAGAGTTAATTGACTAGACTAAGGTCAACATCCTTTGGATACTCTGGCTCAACATCACAACACCATTGTGAATCTGTTCCTTGGTTGCTTGCAGGTTCACCATGTTGAAGAAGGTTTATTTTTGCCCAGGAAAAATGTAAGTGCCGATTGCTTCCACCTGGCCAGATCTCCATGGTAGCTGCTGAACCTGTAACTGGTATCTGGCCAGGATGTGATTGTCTTGGCTATATAAGGAAGGCTAGACCAGCAACGTCTGTCTGCTGCTCAAAATTTCTGCTGTGTGATTCCTACCTCCTGGTTACTGCTGGACTATGTGTTGTGCATGGAACTACATTTGAACATGCAGTCTAGATGTGGACTTTGCTGTGAGTTTTGCAGTGCAGGACCGGAAGGTGCCAAGTCTCTATCTAAAGGAGTACAGTGGTATCTTGATTCTCAAATGCCTTGGTACTCAAACGCCTTGGTTCCAAAACACTGAAAACCCGGAAGTAAGTGTTCTGGTTTTCAAACGTTTTTCAGAAGCCAAACATCCAATGTGGCTGTCGGCTATTGTTTCTGGGGCGCCTGCACCAATCAGAAGCTGGGCCTTGTTTTTCGAACATTTCAGAAGTCAAACAGACTTCCAGAACAGATTAAATTTGGTGCTTTTGTTTTTGCTATTTATCTTGCGTTTTTGTTTTTGAGGCTTTTTCGGTTAATTTGTTTTTGTGACTGTGTGGAACCCTATTCAGCTACTGTTTGTTTGTTTGTTTGTTTGTTTGATTGATTGATTGAGTGACTGCAGAAATGGATAAAACCCCCTTCATCCAAACAATAACTATCATCAGTGCAGGTAATGAATTATTATTTTTTTAAAAAAATTATCATATACAATACTGTCTTATCTTGTCTTGTGAAATAAAATAAAATACTTCCTGCTTAAGTAGTTGCACGCATAGGCTGTTTTACCATCAAACATTGCTTTGAGTGAAGCCCGTTATTCTTTTCATACCTTTCAAAACTAGTTCATTGTGTTTGGACTTGGACTTGCAGTTATGCATCTTACATCCATACCATCATTCTTCATTTTCCATAAAACTAAGACACTATTTCCCTGTGTGAAAGCCTAGTTGTCCATCAGCACTTTTACTGTCCAAGTATTTTATCTGACTTGATTGACTTGCTACATCTCTCTCTCTCTCTCTCTCTCTCTGAAACATAAAAAATGACCTCTTCTCCATCCCTCTGGGAAGATCTGGTGAATCTGAGGCGCACATGCATTAGCAATTCAGTCCATTACTTTCAATATTGCTTTTCGGGGGTGAACATTAATATCCTGTGAATAAAATAAATGAAGTCCCTTATTCTCTAGTTCAGTACTTAATGCTGTTTTTAAAAATTAAATAACTTTTGCACATGTGGTTCTTCTGCACTTACACAAATACCAACCGCAGGGAAAATGCAGTATATCATTCTAAATGAGAAAACATAAAAGGTACCTGGAATGCTAAAAACATTACTAAACAAGAAGGATTCTTCACAGTTCTCTTAAAGAGCCATGAATTTTAATCTATATATCCATATCAGTAAAGGGAAATTATGAAACTGATAAATTCATGCTGTCTTTTATCAGGGACGAAAAGGAGCCACGTTAGACAGCCATACATCTTCTGGAGTTGCCGGCAGTCTCATTAGTGTGCTGTGATATTCATTATATAGAACATCATAAAGATGAAAGCTTTTAAATGAGAAAGTAGCTTTCAGTTCTATCACCATAAAGCAACTATGATTTATTATTCAAATTGATATAAGTACTACGAAGGGTAAGTCAGGATGCTGACTTGCAGGGAGGACTTGAAGGTATTAAGCTAGAACCCAAACAGTTTGCTTGATTGACAGGAACATTGGTGCAATTCCAGGTCTTACTGTGCCATTAACACATTTGCTGACTGTGGCAAGCAATATATTCCCTGTCAAAGAAAAGAACAGGTGAACAACTGGCAATAAATCCCAGTATAAGGGAATACCCTATGACTGGTCTTTTAAAGGATAGAAGATCACAGAACATTCAATAAGAATAAACTCTGGAAAACCACATCACCATTAATATTTCTTTTGACCAAGGTGCATAGGACATCCTCATGATTCTCTTTCTCTCCAATAATGCTGTACCCATGCTGTGTTCTCCATTAAAAGAGAGCAGGGGACTTTATTATTAAGGCATTGTAAGATGTATGGTATGACAGACTCACATTATTGGAGAGGGACGCGGGCAGCGCTGTGGTCTAAGCCACCAAGCCTCTTGGGCTTGCCGATCGGAAGGTCGGGAGTTCGAATCCAGGGTGAGCTCCCGTTTCCTTGTCCCAGCTCCTGCCAACCCAGCAGTTCAAAAGCATACCAGCACATATAGATAAATAGGTGCCACTGCGGCACAAAGTTAAACGGCATTTCCGTGCTCTCTGACACTCATCATGGTGTACTGTTGTGCCAGAAGCAGTTTAGTCATGCTGGCCACATGACCCAGAAAGCTGTCTGTGGACAAACGCCGGCTCCCTCAGCCTGAAGCGAGATGAGCGCCGCACCCCATAGTCAAGTTTGACTGGACTTAACCATCCAGGGATCCTTCGACTTATTGGAGAAGTCATAACATAAAAATATCATGCAGAACTTTATATAGTAAAACCTTTCAAAGCATACGGAGGCTTACTTGCTAATATTGCTAATGCTGCAGTTTCTTCCATTCCTCTTAATTAAGGGCTATGCTTAATTAATGAAGGACAAGGGTTTATTTCTCTCTCTTGCCTTTGTACCAGGCTTTTATATCCCCCTCCCTGGATCCTCTTCATTAAGTCTCTGCTGATGCAGCAGTGCAGCTGATGATGTCATTAGCATGCATAAATGTGGACTGGGCTTGGGCCTAGTGAGATGTGCCACTGCCATCTTTTTGGAACCCACTGCTTGGGATGGGTACATCAGTTCATTTTGGTTCATCTCCATTTCTCATTTGCCTCCATACCCTCCAACATCCTGCTGCTCAAAATTGGGACACTTGGGGTTTTTTTTATCCCAATCTCTGGCAGGAGCCAACTGATTTTGCTTAATTTTGTGCCCAACTATTTAAGGTTTACAATCTTGCCATTCTCTGGGTCTGATCACCTGAGCACCTGGTGGTGTTTAACGTTACATATTATGATGCTGTCTCTGTTACCTGCGTCAGTCAACTTTCTGAAGGCACATCTTTCCCCCCGTCTTTCCTTGATTATTAAAAATAGACACTGTCTTGTGTACATTATAATGCTTTGTTGCATTTCTGTACCTTTCATTGCTGTTCTTAGTAGTTGGTATCAACGGTTTAATTGTCTATTTTGTGATATTTGTGCTTTTAAAATGTGCTATACACAACTTAGATATTATATATATATTAAGCGGTATCAAGATAGTCTTAAATAAAGGAATAAATTATTATGATATCATTGATCTACATCATCAAGCCACAAATACATTTGAAGTTATTAAGGGGTCCCCTTTACTTTGAAATAGCCTTCTATATATTCCACCCCAGGGTTGAAGTGGTTTTGCTCACCAATACTTGGGGCATACTGGGAGACCATGGTTCAAATATCCACTTGGCTGTGAAGCTCACTGGGTGTCAGGAATGAGCCAGCTCCAAGCGAAGGTTTGCAGCCAACTGCAGCAAGCAGCCAGGAACAGAGAGTCTTTGATATTAGTCAGGCAGGGGAGAGCCGGCAGCTGCAGACTTCAGCTCTTCCTGACCTTGATATTCCAGCTGATAAGACAGTAGCTGAGAGCAGGCTAGAACGCAGTCAAAGCTCACCAGAAGCACAAATAGGCACGAAAGAATTCAGAGACAGCCTGTCGGAAAAGGAAGTGGTGGGAGACGATCCATTAATTCTGAGAAGTCGGCGAATGGGAGGGTTGCAAGATAGGAAGCAAAACAAAAGACGTACGGTTCATAAGTTCAGTATCTTCTGTCAACATCATAAGGAGTCTTCAGAAGGCTCATCTTGAGTAATGGTGCCAGAGGCTTTGTTAGAGCCGTCCGGAGCTATCTGTTTGTTTTTTGCAATAAAGCCATCCTTTTAACTAGCTATGCTTACTGTGTTATCAAGCTGGGAACCTGGACTCCTGACACTGGGTGACCATAGGCCAGGCATAGGCAAACTTGGCCCTCCAGATGTTTTGGGACTACAACTCCCATCATCCCTAGCTAACAGGACCAGTGGTCAGGGGTGATGGGAGTTGTAGTCCCAAAACATCTGGAGGGCTGAGTTTGCCTATGCCTGCCTTAGGCCAACCACTGCCTCTTAGCCTAAACTACCTCACAGTTGTTGTGGGCATTAAATGAGGGGGGAAACCATGTATGTTGCCTTGAGCTCCTTGGAGAAAAAGGGGGGATATAAATGTAACCAATCAATATTTTCAAGAAGTGTCAAGATGGGCAGGGTATAAATAATAAAATTATTATTATTATTATTAATGGGTTTTACAGATACCAATAAGAAGGTGATTCACCCTATGGAGGAAACAGGTCTCCACAATCTAACCTTGGTATAAAGAGGAGAAGCCCCATCACATCTTTCCTAATCTGGGCAGCTGAATTATACTAATGATCAATCAATATCAATCGGATTACATGAAACACATAGGCTCCAATATCACAGCTATGTTCAAAGAACAAAGCTGAAAGGAGGTTGAAAAACTGAGGGTCTGGCTGATTTCAACTGCAGGGGAGTGAACACAAATTAGGAATTGGTCCAATAAGATCTTTATAGCCACTCCTCGCCAAGTAATCAAGAGCTTATATGCTTAAAATCTCTGTTCCACTTCCCAATTAGAAAAGAGGTAATTTTATTCTAAATCTTACTCTAAAATTGGTTCATATTACAAAATCTCATTTTTGCAGCAGCACTATATGAATAGTAATATCACATTGCCACAACCTACAAAATCACAGTAGTTTTCCAGCACAGAAATATGGTTAACATTCCTCTTACCTAGGGTCACCTCTCTCACATATGCCATTTTCATACAAATTGCTTATAAAACAAGTGAGGGAATAAGTGAATTTTAACTAAACCCAACAGTAAAGTTGGCCCTCGCAAGAAAACTATAGCAAAAAGTCTGTAAGTGGGCAGGATCCATAACCCCTTGGTTCTCAAGCCTGAAATTTAATCAAATCCTGTCCTTTTATAAAAGAGAGAGAGAGAGAAATCCTTTTGGGGGTATGGGGGAGGGTCTCAAATTTTAAAGCTGCCCAGCACAAAAATCCAATTTGGCAGATGATATCCATTGTGTGCCAAGGCTCCGTGACCTGCAGTTCCCTAGTGGATAATAAACACACGGACAAAAGTATTTAGGTTTATAGGTTCAAATAGGCCACAACTTTATTGGTTACAGATGTGTGTGGTTTGGCTTAGGCATTGGGTGAAGCCAGGCTATATCTCGACTCCCACCCATCTGCAGGGAGTCCATCTAAGCGTAAACCACCAGTAGGGGGATCCCTATGACTTACATCAAATAGGGTCACCCTGAGAGGTCCCTGTTGGGGTTGTGGCATGGCCCTAGCCCATGTCTGGGCATCAGACAGAATCCACACCCCTAGATCCCTTTAATATGATACCCTTATTAAGGAAGGGCAGGCGGAGGCTACAACCTCCCCTCCATCGAAACAAAGGCTTACCCCATGCCTAACCTCACTCAAGTTGTGACAATTGCTACAAGGTAGGCGAAAACCCAATGGCTGGTGTCAATTTGCCAAGTGGGAAAAAACCCAACAATATGGCAGCTGTCAATTGTCCATAGCAAGGTCATATCAGAGCAAAGTATGAAAAGAGGGTGGGTGGGTGGGTTGGGAGATCCAGTGAAGGGTGCAAGACGAAGGCTCCACAACCACACTGCGGTTTAAGATTCCTGCGGCCACACCTCTCACCGGCGCCGATTGGGCAGCAGGGCTACCCCTGGGCAGGGTGATGGCGACGTGGCCTGGACAGTGATGCTGGCTCGTCAATCTCCACCCACCCCGCACCGGATCACTGCAGGGGCCCTGATGCTTGGCTGCAACACCGCCCACCCAAAAACGTGAGCAGACCTGGTGCCGACAGAACTGTGGAAGGTACAAACCACAGAAAGAGCAGGGTGAATAATTGTTTCTGTACACTCATAGTTCTCTCTATAACAGAACAGGCAGCAATGATATGTATTGGTGACAATGTATTGTTGATGCTGTAAAGGCAGCTCAACAGCAAGGGTGAACCCAGAGTGATTCTACCTTACCTTTCCTAGGTATCTGTTATGCTCGGAGCAATCCTGAACACAAGAACCTGGCTTGGAAATCCACTCCACTTCCCAGTGGGGAGGAGTTGTGGTGGAACACGTGGCCACGCACTTCCCTCCGGGGGTGCGGGGACGAAGTCCCATGTACCCCGGAGGTTCCCAGCCATGCCATTCACCTGCCAGCCAATCCGCTGGTGGGGGGGGGCATGGCCGGGCCCCATTTAAATAGAGCTGTAGAGCTTCCTTTTGGCTCACTTCCTTGTTTGCCTAAGCCAATACCGCTCACATTCTGTAACCAATAAAGTTGTGGCCTAAATTTGTCCAATAACATTAACCTAATATCTGTGTCCTTGTGTTTTATTCATCAACAAGGGGGTGGTCTCGGGGTCCCCACATGCAGAAAGCAGGCATAAATTAAGCCAACACAAAGTTACAACAGATCCAAATTCCATTGCAGAGAAAGGGTGCTGCTAGCTGATCTGGCCCACACCTGTCTGAGGGAATGCAAGCCTTTAAAATATAGTTTGACTTATACCACTCCTGTTGCTGGCTTCTCCTAAAACTTAAGTTCCCAGATCACGTGCTCATTACTTTTTAAAAAAGCAATGCAGAGGAGACACATTTTATGAGATGAATATGATAAGATGGAGATCAATCAAAGTGCAGATTCGAGAGTAGAACCTAATCTGATCCGTGAACTGGTTGAGATGGTGCAGATCAGGTGATTCTGCATTGCTTTTTGTCAAACTGGCACTCTGTCCCTACTGAGATTGCAAGCTAAATAAGCCATGACTGCATCATTCCAAATTGTGAAGATTGTCCATCACGCTAATAGCTGGGGAAAAAATGCTTTCTGTGATGAGGATGGAAAGAAAGGGGAAAGCAATTACTACTGCAGGAGACTGCACATCACATTGAAACATAGAAGCCCAGAGTTAAAGGAAGCAGTCATTCCAGAGGACGTCAATGTAGCTATTCTTGTGCTCATAGTGAGGTGTGTGCTTAAGTACCTTTGTGATCTGTGGCCATAAATTGGACAAGAACTGTAAAATTACTGTCTTTGTTTAAATAGTTGATTGTTACTCAAAAAGCATTAACTGCATTTTTATGCTGATGGCAAAAGACTTTATAGAGATAATTAAAGAGAAGCTTCAATTTTCATTATCTCCTTAAGCATTCTCTTTCTGCAATCCAGATTAGATTTAATAGAGCTATTTGCATGCACATTTGATTGATTTGAAGTTTTCAACCTAGAAACAAATTGCCATTGTTAAAAGTTATTGACATGCATGTCCAATCATCAAAGAGCGCCAAAGGAATGCTCTGGTTGAAGCTAATGGGCCAACCATTGGTGGGGAAGCTGTGAGGATTACACGTCTCCCTTCCACGGTTTCCCTCCATTTGCTGACCTATTGAAATACCATTAGCATTCTAACAAGACTCGCCCCCTCTGAGCTTTAAAGTCGAATCAATAGCTTTACTCCTGTACTAGTCACAGATTGACTCAACTAAGTAGTGCTAAAGGGATTTTCATTGAGCTTATGAATTGCTACATGTTTCAGCAGAGGAATGGCCAGACTGGTTCCAGACATTATCACAATCAAATAAAAAACAAACTGATGGGTTCAAATCATTCTTGCCAGACTTGTGACACACCAACACAAATGTAGCCTGCTGGTTGAGTATTGTTGACTTGCCTGACTCTACCTCCACCCTTTTGCCCCCTCAAGGAGGCAGAATAATGGGAATCTTGTTGGGCCAGTCGTAAGCCATGCCTGTTTCTTTCCAGTTCAAAATATAATTTCCAAGGTCACCATCCTTCATCTGTTTACCTCCCACATTTCCTCTTCAGGGTCTTTCTTTGATGTTACCAATCAATCACCTCTGTCACTCTTGTTGGCAGTAGATCTAAGCCTCTGTCAGATCTCACAGCACATTTTAGAATAGAGAGGGTGGTGTGGGGAAAGGAAGCAACAGACAACTGCCTGTTTTCTCATCTACTTCCCCATTGGCTCCCCTACTCGGACCTTTGACCCCAGTTTCCACAGAAAAGTGTAGTGCTGTGAAATGGTACATATGATCCCCCCATGGTATTTGATCTGTGTTAGTTCATGGATATATGAAAGTCACCTGAGGTCGTCCTCATCAGTCACCCTCATCAGCTGAGGAGCATGCATGTGTAGACTAACCCACAGACTAACAGGAGATAACTCTGGTTTGAAGGACATACAAAATGCAAGCCTCTTCCTGGAATCTTTCTTTCCCACTTATCACAGACATTTGAAGTTCTGGCTGTGATTACTCCTCTTGTGGTGAGGTCTTTCTTGACCTTCTGAGGAGTCTGTGGTCTAGTCATTGGAGACTGATGACAGAGTTGTCTCTTTGGAGTCCAGGGGATGAGAGGCAGGTGCTGGTGCCAGTGGATCCACATAGGGAAGATCTCCTCCTCCCTGGATCTACTTTGCATCTCAGAATTCCTGGTCATGACAATGTGCAGGGTTCTAATTGCACAAGGAGCTGTACTCCTTGATACAAATGTTTGCTTGCTGATGTGTGGAGCAGCATAGATTTAAGGGAGGAAGTGTAGCTAGTGAGAGTGGTTCTGCTTTCGTCCTTTTCACACGAGAGAAAAATATCTAAACTAGGATTCAGTTGCCCTGATTATTTAAATATAGATAAAATAAAGATTTTTAAAAACAAACAGACATGATAAAATGTCATTTTTCTTAAGCAAAAAAGTTTTAGACACCAAAAACAAGATCCACATGAAACATTAAAAACATATCCAACACATATTTCAAGCACATGTCTATATTTTAAGGGTGTTGAGGAGGAAAGTACAGTTTCCAGGAAGGCATGTGCTTTACAGGAAGTTTACAGGAAGTCGTGTGCTTTGAATATGCATTCAATACAGTGGTGCCTCAGGTTACATATGCTTCAGGTTACATACGCTTCAGGTTACAGACTCCACTAACCCAGAAATAGTGCTTCTGGTTAAGAACTTTGCTTCAGGATGAGAACAGAAATCGTGCTCTGGCGGTGCAGTGGCAGTGGGAAGCCCCATTAGCTAAAGTGGTGTTTCAGGTTAAGAACAGTTTCAGGTTAAGAACGAACCTCCGGAACGAATTAAGTACTTAACCCACAGTACCACTGTATATGGTGTGGATTCATCCCAACCTGGACAATGCCACTGACGTGTAGCATGCCAAGCCAATGGCTTCAAGTAGGACCTGAGCCAATGGCTTCAAGTCACAAGAAATCGAGTCCTCCTCACAGAGGGCACGCATTGCTGTGAGCTCATTAGGACTGACCTCACTGTTTGAGTGGGTGGGAGTGATTGGATAGCCACAACAACCCAATTGGTGGTCCCTCAGTTGCTGGGCAGATCTGGCCAATGAGGAATTTTGTGTGTTAACCGAGGGACCTTTATATTCTGCTGCATGATGCATTGAGCTTCCTCTTTTCACCTTGTGCATTGGATCACCCACCCATCCTCCCTATACTTAGGGTCTTGCTATTACCTTGCTATGCCATCGTGGGTCATCTGCTGTTGGGGCAGGGTCCCGGTAGGAATTTTCCCATTTGGCTGATTGGCCGATGCCACTTGGGTTTCACCTGCCACGTAGCAAATCGTCACAACTTTGTAAGCTTTGGTGTTTAGGCATTGGTTCAAGGTGGTCTGGAGCCTCCAATGCGCAAAAGTATTCTGTTAAAGGAATCCAGGGATTCGCCATGCTTTTCTCGACCCCTTTCGGAGGGTAGGGCCACACAAGAGTCCCTGGGAGCATTTGGGGTGAGCTTGACTCTGATTCTGGACCATTGCTCCTTCACGGTGTTTACCTGTACTGATGATATGGTGGGGCCCAGTCGTCAGTGCTGCCTTGCAGGTGCAGCTAGTCAGGAACCAATGCCTAAACAAACCACTAATCAATAAAATATTGGCCAAAATTATGCCAATAACCTAAAACTAAATTCCATGTCAGTTGTGTCTTTATTTATTGGGAAGCTCCTGGGGATTTTAACACGCAAAGGAAATTCCAACTAAACATGAGGAAGACCTTACTGATGGTAAGAGCTGTTCAACAGTGGGACAGACTCCCTCAGAAAGTAGTGGACTCTCCTTCATTGGAGGTTTTTAAGTAGAGGTTTGGTGGCCATCTGTCATGGATGCTTTAGTTGAGATTCCTTCATTGGAACCCTTGAAGCCTCTTCCAACTCTTCAGTTCTATGATTCTATACTTCTAAGTATGATAATTTCCGATCCCATCCCAAACACCCCTTCAAGCACTGGGTTCCCTGCTGTCTTAGGTTACTCTGTCCACTCATCCTTACTGTTCCCTCTGTATGAAACTACCTTCCTGGACATGAATGCAGAACACTGTTATTCATTTCCTTCAAAATATTTTCCCGTTGCCAAAAAGCCAAGCTGCCGATCTGTCTTAAAAGCCGCTTGTTTCTTTGGCATCCGAAAATACTGCAAAGGAAAACACCAAGCCATTTTTGGCTCTCTGCATAGTTTCTTCCAAAACACACTCACACGCCGTTGTGGATCACAGAAATGCTGTATCTGGACTATATGGATGTTTAAATATTAAAAAGAGTCCCAGGGCACCTTGCAATAACCAAACGAAAAGTAATAAAATCCACACTACTGTGAAAGAAGTTATTAAAGGTTCACGGTCCTTCTGTATGCAGTCATAGCTACCTAATGCAAATACTGCAATTCTGTGTGTGTTTATGCAGTGTGGGGACTAGGGCTTACTCTCAGGAAAGTGTGCATATGACTGTAGCATGATTTTGGACTAAGGTTGTACAGTCATATATACACACACACACACACACACACATATATATATATATGTTCTTCGGGTTAAGTACTTAATTCATTCCGGAGGTCTGTTCTTAACCTGAAGCACCACTTTAGCTAGTGGGGCCTCCTGCTGCTGCCGTGCTGCTGGAGCACAATTTCTGTTCTCATCCTGAAGCAAAGTTCTTAACCCGAGGTACTATTTCTGGGTTAGCGAGGTCTGTAACCTGAAGCATCTGTAACTGAAGCGTATGTAACCCGAGGTACCACTGTATATTTCTTTTTTACTTCTGTTGAAAATTTATCTTTCTTTTAGTGGAATTCAGATTTTGGTGTAAGTGTGCTATACTATGGCAAGGAATTGGTCAACTTTGGTTTATTTCAGCTTCTCATTTTTTCCCAATCCTAAATTCAGTTCTCCATGTTTCAAACAAGAGTTTCCGTTTTTAAAAAGACGCCCCCATGAAAATTCTTCCACATTTTAGTTGTGAATTTCTCCTAACACACACATTTTCCCAAAGCAACTTCCCCTGATATAATGTATTTTAATGTCATTTATTTATGATGTGTGAGTCTTTGTGCCCACTTTAGCCTAGTATACGCATTTTTGTCCACGTTACTTAGCTGCAGAACTGCAATGCAAAAATCAGAGAAGTGTGAATTAGGTATGTTTTAAATGCAAACGGAATCCAGTTTCTTCTCCATTCCTAGCCATGGCCTTTTCTCAAGCTGCCCAGTAATGGTGGAATTCGCATGACGGAAGTCCCCACATTGGTTTCTTCTAAGAGAATTCCATTTAGGCTGCATATTAAAATGAAGAAACTTAATTCATAAATCATTGACCAGAAGTGGCCCATCCCAATTTGCAAAGTGGGAACATGGTGCCCTCTGCCCTCTCTGTGCCCTCTGCCACCACACAATTCCACTGGAAAGTTCCCCGTCTTGCTGAACTCAGTGAGATGGGGGAAGCATTCTGCAAGGTGTGGAAATGGTGGGGCAGGTGGGTTCCCACCTCTTGCACTTCCACCACCTGAGGTGGACAAATACACAGACTAGAAATTTAACTATCATCCGGCTCTTGCATGTCTCTGAACAAGGCACTACACTGTGTCCAAAATGCAGCCTTTGGGAAATAATACATTAAGAAATGCAGATTTAACATATCTAAATACATAAAATATTTAGCCACATAAAGTACATTTAGAAATTCATAGACTGAGATATAAGAAAATACATATTTAAATACAAACGTTTAATGTGGGCATGGGAGAGACTTATGAATGAACTGACAGAGAGAATAAATTGGCAATCTGTCCATCCCTATGTTCTCCACAGTATTCCTCCTGTCAGAAACTGGAGTCACATTGTAATAGGCTCCTCTCCCAAGATCACAGACTTACAACATTACCAGGTAGCAGAGAAAGAAGCTGCCATTCAGCTAATTCTGTACTGCTAAAGCCAATGCTAAAAATGGTCCCTCAGTCTAATGGAGCAGACAAGATCTAATACGAGATGAATCTCTCTGATGCTATGCTTCCCAGAAAGGCTGAAACCTTCCAATCAATCAGGATTACACAGTTTAATAATGACCCCTGTATATTTCCTGGCAGTCTTTCATCCCATGCTAATAAGAAAATATGTTCATCAGATTTATAAAAACAACAACAACAAGCTATTAAGAAATATTGAAGGATTTTGTCCCCAGCAAAACAAGAAGCAATCGGTTAGCAGGCAATCAATAATTTATTGGAAGAAAATCCTAACCCCCCCCAAAAAAAATCCATAATGCGCTAGCTTGGATGTTGGCAATCTCTGCTCATTATGGTCCCAGGTTCTTATTTAATGTGTTTTTAGCAGTCTGACAAATTAATCACTGAGACCATATTTTTGACAATGCCATAATCACATTCAATACAAATGTGTCTTTTGGTCATAGCTGCATCCTCTCAACTATCTTTTGCAAGCAGCACATGAAAGTAATGACAAAAAGGGTTCTTATTCAGTGAAGTCATTTTGAGTTACTTTCTTTGTGGCCTAAGGGCTGGGGAGGGGAATCTGGTTCATTCAGTTAGCATTCATATAGATTGCTTGGATTTCTAATTTTCGGAAAACTCTGCTAATGTCAAAACATAACCAGGATGCCCTAATTAACCAAGCCTTGGATCTGATGCTATTATATTAGAATTCCCATCTATTCGATGCTGCAGATGATTGACCAGCCAATAAATTGATCTGAACAAATAGTGGAATAGAAGTGCCTAGTAGCAGTGATCCTCAAATCACACAACCACAATATTAAAGGTAGTCCTGTTCAGAGCTTCAAAAGTCTGTTTTCAAAAGCAACTATTTCAAGTTTGACACATCCAAAAAGGAACTAATTCAAGTTCATGTTTACCCTGAGTTTGGTTCACTTTAGTTCATGGTTTAGTTCAGAACTTCATCTGAATGATATTTGGCAAATACCGTATTTTTCGCCCTATAGGGCACACTGGCCCATAGGGCGCACCTAGTTTTTTTTGGTGGGGGGGGGATAAAGAAAAAATATTTTATTCCCCCCCCCCCGGCACGGGGCTGGGGAAGCCCGAGCTTGCCCCGACCCCAGCCCCCAGAACAGGCTGCTATCCGCAAGCCTTGGGAGCCCGGCGGGAACTCCCGCAGGCTCCCAAGGCTTGCGGATAGCTTCCTGAAGCCTGGAGAGCGAGAGGGGTCGGTATATAAAAAAATAAACAGCATATTATTTGCTTAAAAATATTAATGTAAAAAGTGTGAGTGGAAAATGTGTACAGTGGGATGGAACAGCACACAACAGGACAGGATGGGCCTATGATCAAGTGCCGGCAAGGCCAAAATGAGAACTTTTGCTCTGCAAGTTTGCAATCACCTACGAGAATAAGGCCTACATAAAGGCAATTGTGCCAAAATGTGTCAGTTGTACTGAACAATAACACCGATCATGGTTTTGGCATCCTCGAGTCGTATTTCTCCTTTTTCATTCTACCACATTTAGCCATGCAGCTAGGCCAGTATATCTATTAGTTGCTACAAGATTTTGTGTGTGGATAGAGTACTAAGGTTTTGATCTGAGAAACGTTGTTCAAGGTACTTACCAGTTTCCCCGCTTTTCTCCCAATAATACCATGTGTGATGTGATTGCATAGCATTTTGTGTCCCCCTTCAGTTTATATTATGCATTGTTGCTGGGGCAGAGGAGCACACAACCCAATCCCACCACACTATGAGTTTACCTGACTAAATGTTATGGGAAGAGAAAGCAGAACTGGATGCTGGGCTGCTGCTTTCAGCAGGTGCCCCGTGGTCCTAAGAAAAAAATAATACAATGCAATCTTCTTCTCTTTGGCGATCACTCGTAGCCAAGTAAGATTGTCTTCCATAAACACAGTTTTAACAATGAGTCCATAAGTGACTGTGGAGGCCAATTCTGGACCCACACGTCCTTCCATAGTGGGGACATTGGTTCCTGGGCAGGAATTGATCACGGTGTGGATTTGCCAAGCATGCCTTCCTCATAACACCTTTTTCCCTTGCATTCTGAGTTCGAGTGTCTTGAAAGTCCAAGACACCTTTGGTAAAGGCTGTTCTCCAACTGGAGCGTTTGTAGGCCAGTGTTTCCCCATTGTCAGTGTTTATACTACATTTTATAGGGAAATCCCCTTTAAGGGTATTATAAGGAAAGTGGGAGCAATATGTAGATGCCAGAATCATTATCTTTTACATCTACAGGAGGCTTTATCATAATACTGGAACTTGGCACCATCCACTGAAACTAAATAATGGAAGATTCAGGACAGACAAAATACTCCATGTAGTGCATAGTTAAAACTTTAGAATCTGCTTCCCCAAGAGGTTGTGATGACCAACAGCTTGGCTTGAAAGAGGATTATACAAATTCATGGAGGCAGGGCCTCAGTTTCCAGTGGCACCCTGTGCAGTGCCAGAATTTGGCACCCCCTGACTCTCACTCTCCATTCTAAATCATAGCTGTGGCATCCCCTGTGGAGCCCCTAGGGATCCGCCTGTGCCCAGTGAGATTGAACCAATCACACTTCTCTAAATCCACCTCTGATGGAGGACAATCTTATCAATGGCTGCTAGCCATGACAGCCATGTTATAACTCTATCTACTGTTGGAGGCAGTATGCCTCCGAATAGGGGCTGCAGGTGGCTCTGTGGTCTAAACTACTGAGCCTCTTGGGATTGCCAATTGGAAGGTCAGCGGTTCGAATCCCCATGACGGGGTGAGCTCCCGATGCTCTGTCCCAGCTCCTGCCAACCTAGTAGTTCGAAAGCACGCCAGTGCAAGTTGATAAATAGGCACTGCTGCGGCAGGAAGGTAAACGGTGTTTGCTTGCGCCCTGACTTCCGTCACTGTGTTCCATTGTGCCAGAAGCGGTTTAGTCATGCTGGCCACATGACCCAGAAAGCTGTCAGTGGAGAAACACCAGCTCCCTCGGCCTGAAAACCAGATGAGCGTTGCAACCCCATAGTCACCTTTGACTGGTCTTAACCATCCATGGGTCCTTTGCCTTAACCTTTGCCTCTGAATACCTGCTGCTGGGAATCACAAGTGGAGATGGTTCTGTTGCTTGTGGGTTTCCCATGAGCACTGGGTTGGCCAGTGTGGGAACAGGATGTTGGACGAGATGAGGCTTAGATCTGATCCAATAGGGCTCACTTCTTACATTCTTACATTTGTTTCCTGGTAAGAAGCAACTTTGAAAGGCCAGAATAGTGCAAATTCTCACTTATTTTACAGTTTACATGCCTGGATGAATTTACAATGCCAAGTCTATCCAAAGTCCAAAGGTTAAGACCATGTTAAGACCTTTATCGCCATTTGCATATTTTATAATGGCTATCATTAGCTGATAATGAGCCGTTAGCTTTCATTAGCTCTTCAAATTATTGCCATTAGCTTACTCCAAGTCCTTCCCATTCCAATGTAAATCACTATTTTTGGATCCCCTTTCCTACTTTACAGGTCACTCCCAGGAATATTTGAGTCCCTGCTTGCTGCACCCTGGGAGGATTCCCACTTCATGCCAAAATGGATCGGCGATATAATATGCTGGCAAAATAGAATGATGACGTTCTCTCTTGGTCCAGAAAAATTATCTTCAAATTAAATCACATTTGCAGTGCATGCCATGAAGACAAATGGAGAGCAAAATAGGAATAAAATGGTGAACAATCAATCCTGCCTTTCCCTACTGCACTGTTCTGGGGTGGGGTGGGGAGTCTCCTATCATGCCAATTTGGAAAGGAGTGTGGGAAGAAGATGGAAGGATAGCCCGTCACACAAGTGGAAGGCCTTGCATTGCTACTGTTAAAGGGACTTGTTAGCAGATCCTACAAGTGTCCCATTTTTCAGGGACAGTCCAAGAATTACAGAAGCCATATTGGTTTCTGATTTGATCCCAGAATGTCCTGCTTTTGCTTTGGATATCTCTATTTTCATCACAGGGTATATAGTTATGTGACTCCTGAGCCAATGGGATACGTAACTATGCAACCTTTAGAAGATATCTGAAGGCAGCCCTGAATAAGAAGTTTTTTAAAAAAAATGTTTAATGCTTTATTATGTTTTTATATATGTTGGAAGCTGCCCAGAGTGGCTGGGGCAACCCAGTTAGATGGGTGGGGTATGAATAAAATTATTATTATTATTATTATATTATTATTATTACTAGCATAGAATAGGACGTCCCTATTTTCATCAGAGAAATGTTGGAGGGTATCTGTTAGGTCAATCTGGTTATAGGAAGCAGTCATAGCTCAAGCTATTTTTTTCATTTAGCCCTGTCCACTCTGAGTGGCAGGACCTCTTTGGCGCTTCAGATAGGAGCTTTTTATATCACCTACTCTCTGGGTCTCTTGTAAATGCAGATGCCAGGGACAGAACCTGGGACTTCTTGCATGCCACTGAGCTGTGGTACCTCTTGACAGCATTCATGAGGACCAACATTTCACCATGTAATATATTTTTCAGTGCACGTGAAGCAAAAGTACTAAGTACAAAAGCCTACATAAATATGAGCCTGCTGGATCAACCCAATGGCCCATTTAGTCCAGCATCATGTTCTTACAGTGGCCAACCAAATGCCTGTGGGAGGCCATCATCATAGCCATCATGGTTAGGAGATTATTTAATAATCTAAGATAGCCAATATTTTTGTAAATCAAATTTGAGTGATTCTAATCAGTTAGACAGCATCTTAAAAAGCAGAGACATCACCTTGCTGACAAAGGTCCGTATAGTTAATGCTATGGTTTTCCCAGTAGTGATGTATGGAAGTGAGAGCTGGACCATAAAGAAGGCTGAACACCAAAGAATTGATGCTTTTGAATTATGGTGCTGGAGGAGACTCTTGAGAGCCCCATGGACTGCAAGAAGAGCAAAGCTATCCATTCTGAAGGAAATCAGCCCTGAGTGCTCACTGGAAGGACAGATCCTGAAGCTGAGGATCCAGTACTTTGGCCATCTCATAAGAAGAGAAGACTCCCTGGAAAAGACCCTCATGTTGGGAAAGATTGAGGGCACAAGGAGAAGGGGACGACAGAGGACGAGATGGTTGGACGGTGTTCTCGAAGCTACCAGCATGAGTTTGACCAAGCTGCGGGAGGCAGTGGAAGACAGGAGTGCCTGCCATGCTCTGGTCCATGGGGTCACGAAGAGTTGGACACGACTAAACGACTAAACAACAACAAAACCAATAGTACAAAATAGTCCATTTCACATTCTAGTAGATAATTGTTGCTTATGGGAGAGCATGGAAATACCATTAATACCAAGAGGTCATTTTAAAAAATGTATTAAACTTTTTCCCCCCTATAGTATTCCAATCTGTGTGAATTTTATTTGGGCGGGATGTGTGTAAATGTTTCACTAAAGTGTTTGGAGATACACAAAACACTTTAGGATGGGGGCTTATGCCCCGTTGAACCCAAACCCCTTTGATGTTATATACCTCAAACCATCTAGAGTCCAGTTCAATCATTCTCTCCCTACACCAAGGATGAGGAAGCCTTTGGCCTTCCAGATGCTACTGAACTCCATGTCAGGATGCTGTCAGCAGCTCCCGGCTGGTTGCCCAGGAAAGTTTAAAGACAAGGAAAAGCTTCTTTTTTATTTCAATCTTTACACAGAGAGGCTATAGAACCCAGCCTTTTGGATAATGGTGGTGTCCCAAGTGAATCTCCACCCCCTATCTCTCTCACTTCTTCATTCGTCTCTTCTGCAGGAGCTCTCTGTCTTTGAGCTCTTTGCTCTCCTACTTTTAAGGCCAGGTTCCGAGAGATGGAGGGTCTGGAATGCTTTCTAATGACAACATGTCAGCCCGGTGTTGTTCTGGCTCATCCATGATTTCCCAACTTTTCCCCTCATCTGCCTCTGAGCTGCTACCTCCCTCAACCCCCTATTGTAAATCTATACTATCTTCCTCTTCCTCCCTGGAAGTGTCAGGATGGGGAGGAGGTCTCCACCATTCCTCCTCTGCCCAGGCCCTGACAATTAGTTTTCTTTAACAGTGGAAGCAGGTTTTCAGAATATACACAGCTCTTCTCCAGGCTTTGATTATGAGAGCAAAAATTAAACATCCAATAGTCTAGATCTGAACAACTGGGTAGTCAGGCTGATGGTTACTTGGCTGCAGAAGTTTACTGGCCATTGCTGTTGGCATGGAGATAGTTTAGGTTGAATGCAAACATGCCATTCTGATGTTATGTGTGATGTCACAAAGAGGATATGCTTTAAGTCTTGGTAAAGCCAGAAACAGTTAACAGTCAGACTGCATCTCAGCCCTGTCAAGACAGATCTCCATAGCAGGTGATGAATAGTTTTATTTGGGGGATATATTAACTTTTACTATTGGGGAAAAGTTTTAGATTGGTTTGCCAGTTTGTAACCCATCAAGTTGAGGCCAATAAATATGCATTCACAACTCTGTGCACATCAAACAATCAACTTTATGTGTGGCTTTGGGACGGATTCATACAACCACATGAAGAGTCGGACATGACTAATCAACTAAACAACAACAACAACAAATCAGTTGTGTGCATTTCTGATCTTACCTAATAACCAATCTGTTGACAGGTATCTACACACTTAGTTGTGAGAGACAAACATGGACATTTGCTGGTTCATCTCTAGATAATGATGATGATGATGATTGTAGGGCACCAAATACTAGATAAGGTGAGCTGCAAGTGGATGTGCACTATTGCTTGTGATATTTTGTTCAGCATGGTATATTTTTCCATTGAACATATTTATGAGAAAGTGGTTGATACGGAGATCATCTTGGTAGGGATGGTGCAATGTGCACTTTGAGTTTCTGAAAGACTCTGACATTAAAAACCTGTACATAGTATGCCATTTCTGTAATCGTAATGCTGTATTTCAGGAATGTTCAGCCCCCTGTAGAAAACTACAGCAAAATATAAAGAAAGTTGCAAGAGCTATTTATATTTTCCTCCAAGTCATTTGCAAAGCTTAATTAAAAGAAATCCATCAAGCCCTCTTCACTCTTTAAAAAGTGATTAACTACAACTCCAACCTAGTATAATTATGTCCTTCAGACTGTCTTCTTGGTGATTGAGACTTCTCTGAAATATATTAGAGAGAGAAAAAATCTCAAAATCCCTAAAAGATTTAAGGAACATTTAGCTCACAGATTGATTAATCAGAGTTCAATTCCACTGGTTTACACATATTTGAGAAGGTTCCCTTTTTTGTTGATGATGATTCCATTGATTTTTGTGGCGCTTCACAGAATATATATGGGATCTGTTTGTTTCAAATGATTCTATCCTTCAAACATACGTCCTTGGAACAAGAAATAGGACAGTGACCCTACCCTGCACATTTTTTTAATTATATGCAGAAGATAGGAGCTTTGATTCCCATCATTATGTGGCTGAGATGCCTACAGAGCTACCATTTCCAGTTTAGTTTAAGAATAAATCATTCTCCCCAGGGAATTCTGGCAATTGTAAGTCTGTGAGGGCAATAGAGGTTTCCTAACAACCGGCAGCACTCTCAACAAACTACAGTTCCCAAGATGATCTGGGGGAAACCATGGCTGTTTAACATGGTATGGCATTGCTTTCGATGTATAGTGCTAATGGGGCCTTAGGCTAAGGTGGGAGCAGATGGCGCTGTGGTCTAAACCACCGAGCCTCTTGGGCTTGCTGATTGGAAGGCTGGCGGTTGAAATCCCCATGATGGGGTGAGCTCCCATTGCTCTGTCCCATGCAGTCTAACACTCATCACGGTGTCCCGTTGCCCCAGAAGCAGATTAGTCCTGCTGGCCACATGACCTGGAAAGCTGTCTGTGGACAAATGCTGGCTCCCTCGCCCTGAAGCAAGATGAATTCTGCACCCCATAGTCACCTTTGACTGGACTTAACTGTCCAGGGGTCCTTTACCTTTCTTAGCTTTAACTAGACTAAGGCATTTCCTTTATTTATACAAGGTATGTGATAAGTTTACAGGATAATATTAATCCTCCAAGCACTGTGAGAAGTACACAGAAGAACAAAACAGCTTTAGAAGTTTGCAGGGGAAATAGAAGAGAGAGAGAGAGAAAGAGAATGTCAGCAGTATTGCTCCTACTACAATTTACCTCTCTTACTGCATTATGTTGGATAGAGTCCAGACTCAGCAATATGTCTTGGAAAAAATGTTCCACATTTTGTCTTTAAGCTAACTGTGAAAGCAGCAAGTTTCTCAAGGCCTTTATCCCTCCTCTTGTGCTGTACTTTTAAAAGTGTCTTTGCTGTTTTGGTGCACCCCAGTGCACCAATCTGATGTTATTATCAAAGTCTCAAAATAAAAGCTGCATCAGTCTGCACACAGGAGATTTGATCTCTGACAAATAAGTTTGTGTCACCACACTTAAAAAAACACACATCTCTTTCTTCTCTGGTCAGCTTTTGGTAGGCTTATTTTCTGATTTCTGGAGAATGGTTGCGAGCTATGAAGATGTGAAGAAATATTGTAAACAACATACACGGAAACCTGTGGGCCATATTTTGCTTTAAAAAGCACCGTTCATTTTTATTTTTTTTTATCCTCCACAAATTTGTCTAACCCCCTTTTAAAGCCATCTGGGTTGGTGTCTATCATCTCGTCTTGAGATAGCAAATTCCACATTTTAACTATGTGCTGTATGGAAAAGCACTTTCTTTTGACTTTCCAGAATCTCCTATCATCCTTAGATTGCCCCATAGAAGGTACCATTTGCAGCATCCTGAAAAAAATGTTCACCACCACCACTGTCAATTGCAGGGGTCAGCAAACATTTTCAGCGGGGGCCGGTCCACTGTCCCTCAGACCTTTTGGGGGGCCGGATTATATTTTGGAGGGGGGGGGGGAAGTAACAATTTTTGCCCACCCCCAAGAGGCCTGAAGATGCTTCACTTTACCTGTCCCAGTTGTCATCCCAATAGCCACAGTTGGGCTTCTCCAGCCAGCCAGGTGCCATGGCAGGGTAGGAGGCTGCGTTGGCTGGCAAAGAAAGAAGAAGCAGCCCTGGCGGAGGAGCCATGGACAGACGTAGGGGAACCGGGGCATCGACAGAGCTTTTACCCACCACCTGCTGCTGCTGCTTCCCAAGAGGGACCATGGAGAAGAAGACTGTTATGTACTGAAGTTCTCACCCTGGGCCAGCAGGGGGATACTGTAGATAGCTTTTACTCAGGTCCACATATGCAAATAAGGGATTGAAAGTGACGTTCAGTGATTGGCTAGTTACAGGAAGTTGCTACTGTTGCTTTGTAGTTGAGCTCTGTATAAGCAGGTTGGCTGAACCCTTCAGTTCAGTTCTGTTCTGGCCTGTGAATAAACAAGAGCTGTTTGAAGAATCACTGTGTTGTCTGATATGTCGTCTGACAACTTAACAAAGACAGAGTCATCTGCCAACCCACAAGTGGCAGCCGTGGCCTCCGCAACAGCCCACCTGAACGCCATGTCATGGGTGGAATGAAGGAGAGAGGCAGGCAGGTGGTGACAAAGAAAGCGTGCAAGGAAGTGGCATGGAGAAGGGGCGCAGAGAAGGAAGGAAGGGCAGACTGAGGGAGAGGGAGAAGGAGCAGGAGCAGCCAGCAGCCAGCATCACACACCCCCTTCACAGCACCACCCTGCTGAGGCGAGCAGGTGGACGAGCCGACTCCTGCCGTTGACAGCACCAGGCGTGGGACAAGATTGCTCCGTCCCTGAGGAGAAAAGTGCCGCAGTGTGAGGGAGAGGGAGGGAGAGGGAAAGAAAGTGTGCGCTGGTGATCCACACGCTGGTGATCCACACGTGATTCCTGGACTGTCTGCTGGCCGGATCTAGAAGGCAATTGGGCCTGATCTGGCCCGTGGACCTTAGTTTGCTGACCCATGGTCTATTGGAATAGTTTCCCTGCCTCTGCCAGAAGAAACTACTGGTACTACTGCTTTCTCCTTGTTGCTTTTGTTATGTATTTTGTGTTTTTAATTTTGTATTTTTATGCTGTGAACTGCCCTGAGAACTTTGGTTGAAGGGTTGTATACAAACTTAATAAATAAATAAATACCGTATTGGCCTGAATATAAGCCACACTTTCCCCCCCCAAATTCCAACCATGGAAAGTTAAAGTGCGGCTTATATTCACAACCTTACGACATCACTGCTGAAACAGCTGCTCTAGGTCTGTGGCCCTGCCTTGCTCTCCAAGGCCGGAATGGAAAGCGCCATCCCCCTGCCCAGGATGCCACCACAGGGCTGTTGGGGGTCGGGACAACGGTGCCCATCCTGCCCATTGCTCCCAAGCCTCCCCAGAGCCGTGAGAAAGAAGGGAGGGGGGAAGGCTGCCAGCAAAGCAGTGCCTTTCCCCCTCCCCAGGAAGCAGCCCGGGAGCGTGAGTGCCTGCAGAATTTTAAGGGAGCGGCTTATATTCGGGTATTGTCTCTCCCCCCTCCCCCCCCGATTTTTTAAAGTTGTGGCTTATATTCGGGTACGGCTTATATTCGGGCCAATATGGTAAATAAATAAAAATTCAAAAGTCATTGCACGGTGGCACTGTTTCACTGGGTGAGTTCTAACAGATTATTTATTTAGCAAATTTTATATAGCCCCTGGTTGTTAATACAACTGCTAAGTGGGTTGCAAAGTCAACAAACAAATGTTAAAATTGTCTATGAAAGTCAAAGTTGCAATTTAATTAAAATCAACAGTTAAGATAAGAATAGATTAAAGCACCCGTCAACTTCTGTATGTCTGGATAGGCTTCCATAAACAAAAGGAAAAATTAGCGGGTGCCTGCTTGATGCCAATAGGTGTCAAGGACTGGAATGAAGAGGCAGGGGAATGGTGGAGATTGCCTCCCCATTCTCCTGTATCTGACAGGGGAGAGAGAAACAGCATTGAATTGCAGCCAAGCCAAGAGGGAGATAATGAGGCAGAGATGGGCAAGCAGCCAAGCTATGAGGAGTTAGGAGAAGTGAAGGGGGGGGGGAGACAGAATAGCCAGGGAACACTTCATTAGACAGCATAGAGGATCCCCCATCCCCTAAAACACGACTGTCTTAAAGGGTACAAGAGCAATGTATGCAGAGGCGTTTGTCAATGGGAGGCTTCCATAGGGGCCATTGCTGTTGGAGAAGGGGAAAGGAGGAGGAGCCAGAGTGAGCAACTTCATTATGGAGGAAAGACTGGGATTCTTTGCCTGTTACCGCAGTGACTGAATAAATCATAAGGAAAAGCTTTCTTGTTTCCTCCCGGCTCCTTGAAACCATCGGGAGGGGAGGGGGAGAATTCTGACAATAGGCTGGGTATTCTAAAGTTTCTTCCATAGCCACAGCCTCAACTCAAACAATGCTCTCAAACATTGCCCTGGCTCTCTCTCCAGTTTGTAGCTTTACCTTTAGGTCACATCACTGCTACCTTTGCTCCAAACTCTAGCCTTTTCCATGGAGGGAGAGGGACACACATATTTACTGTCTCTCACAGAGCCCATTAATCCTCTTTAAAGCCTCGTCACCCAGACTACCATCTCACCAGAAGGCTAGCCTGGCTATTCCAATAATGAAAAGCCTTCTAAAACTTGCTAGATAGAGGGATCAGATGGGTCTGGTACCTAGCTTAACATCCCAAACTCATAACATTATCTTTAAGTGTCAGGCAGAAACACTAGTTTATAACCAGGCCTTTGGGTTGATTAAATAATCTATGGCCTATTAAATGTGTTTGAGGGAGAGGGGTTATTGATTTATCTTTGTTTTTCGTTATGTATTTTGTGTTTTGTATTTTTATGTTGTGAACTGCTCAGTGATCTTCAGATGAAGGGCACTATACAAAATTAAGAAGAAGGAAGGAAGGAAGGAAGGAAGGAAGGAAGGAAGGAAGGAAAGAAAGAAAGAAAGAAAGAAAGAAAGAAAGAAAGAAAGAAAGAAAGAAAGAGTTTGTGCCTAGGAGAGGAGAAGGAATAAAATATTGAGTTGTATGGAGATCTCCTTTCATGAACATTACCCTGTGGGCTCCCTATTTGTGAAATTATTGTGCCTACCATTAGTTACTTTCAAAAATTACACCATATAAATAACATTCCCCACACAATGGGGTTGGGAACCATTGCAAAGTTGAGATTATTTGGAGGGAATGCACTAGCTTGTCAAGTGAATTTCTTAGAGTATCTCCAACGGAATAATTTGAATTGGCCCAGCTTTTGTCTTTGGGAGTTAGGAGCAACTTGACATCTAGCTTAAACTATAGAGACAAATGAAAAAGAACAGTGAAGCATGTCACAGGTTTACAGATTCTGGACCATCAAAATGATGTTCAGAAATATTTCAGCCTACCTGGATCCCTTTGCAGTTATTTTTATCTATGTTTGTAGATGCTTCTGATGTGAACATGTAAGCTGAGCACAGTATTTTCTCCCTGTGGTATAGAACCTAAGTAAAGATCTAAGTCCATCCAAACCATTCTCCTTATCTCAGGTATATTATGATAGTTAACTAGATGTTTGCCCACAGAAAGAGCAAAGAAACACTATTTCCTCATGCAAGAGGCTGAACAAATAGCAAGATCTTTCTTTCATCTCAGTAACTATTTGAAGTCAATGTGGAAGACGTTAGAGCTACATTTAAGGATGTAAGAAGGCAACATCTTCCATTCCACGCTGAAATTGTGGCATGAAGCCCTGTTTCTTTTCTGCTGCAGTTCATCTTCCATAAAAAAACCTGATCAGCTAGATACTAAACTTGCTGTCTGCTGTGGCAAAATTATGTAACATGTAATTCATTGCGTAAAATACATTATTATTGTTATTCCACTCCATTCATTTCAGCGCAAAGGAAATGTACCTGTTGGACTGATTTTTGTTCCAGACATGGCAATTTCCGCTCTTGTTTCTGGCAGAATTTTCTGATATCCCTTACACATCATGAATGCATAGCCTTCTACCTATTATATAACCCTTTGCTTTACATTTCATTACTTTAGCCAGACAGTCCACATACCCTTGTGTCAGATTTCTAATTATCATGTGCTCATGATGATAACCTGGAGCACTCTGAAGACATGCAATGTTAGGGTGACTGAATAAGGTCATTTTCAGTGAAACAAAAAGCTACCTGAGTGATTTTTAATTTCTCTACATTGTGATACTCTCCAAACGCCTTTTGACTGGCCGGTGTTACACATGCTCTGGTTGCTTTTGCCACAGTCCAGCACATAGGTTAAGAGCATGGATCTCTCTATGAATTGGACCTCATACATAACAAAAGATATTGGCTCAGGGGGGAATTCCATTCAAAACCCAAGATGCATTTCAGTCAGCATTGTCATGGGGCCATCCACTTTACCCATTGCTCAGCACCAGCAACATAGGGACATAAAATGATCCTGCAGGATCAGGCAAATGGCATATCCAGTCTAGCATCTTGCTCTCACAGTGGCCAGCCAGATGTCTGTGAGATGTCTGCAAGCTGGAAATTAACCCAATAGCACTCTGCCTACCTGAAACTCCCAACACTAGTATTCAGAGCCACACTGTCAAATCCAGCAACCCACAACAATCTCGCTTCCGAGCACAATTCAAAGTGTTGGTGCTGACCTTTAAAGCCCTAAATGGCCTCAGCCCAGTACACCTGAAGGAACATCTCCACCCCCATTGTTCCAGCCCGGACACTGAAGTCCAGCACCGAGGGCCTTCTGGTGGTTCTCTCATTGCGAGAAGTGAAATTACAGCAAACCAGGCAGAGGGCCTTCTCGGTAGTGGCGCCCGCCCTGTGTAATGCCCTCCCATCAGATGTCAAAGAAATAAACAACTATCTGACATTTAGAAGACATCTGAAGGCAGCCCTGTTTAGGGAAGTTTTTAATGACTGATTTTTTAATGTATTTTTAATATTTTGTTGGAAGCCGCCCAGAGTGGCTGGGGAAACCCAGCATGATGGGCGGGGTAGATATTATTATTGTTGTTGTTGTTGTTGTTGTTGTTGTTGTTGTTGTTATATCTCACAAACAGGGGAGATCTTCTCACGTTGCAACAAGACTGCAAAAAACGGTTACACATGAGGCCTTTATCTCTTCACTGGCATTTATTTATCTGCTTCCATAATGAAGAGTAATCAGGAGAAGAAGAAAGAAACAGTAGGAAGAAAGACAATTACCTTGCTGCGAGAAACTCCTGAGTCTTCAGGCTGTATTAAACTTGCTGCCTCTAATTAGTATCAGTCATACTTCTTAGAGTCCTTTGTAGATCTTCAAAAAGAGCCCCTACTTCATGTTGCAGTTCCATCTCTCTAAGAAGCTTCAGGTGGTTCTGGGAAAGGTACATCTCAATTGATATGACAGGAGGCTTTACAAAAGGAGAGGTAAGTATCATAAACCAGCTTGAAAAAGGAGGAGAAGAATGGGGTGGATGGTTATGTAGTTGGATGCAAGAAAATGAGAGAGATGGGGAGGAAATAAGAAAGAATAATAGGCAGGTAGCTAAAAAGTAAATGAAAGGCAAATGAGTACTTGCTGCTTCCTGATAAATGCGCAATAGAAATGTTCCCAAAATAAGAGCAGTTTTTATGATATCACTATAAAGTCCCCTATTAAGTCAGACTTTTTGGCTAACCTTTATTATCCTATTTCCAAAGCATCTTTCTGCTTTTCCCATCCAAATTGCCCTCAAATGAAATTTCAAAAAAACAGGTATATTACTACACCTATTTGTGAGGGTATAGCTGTTCTGTTTTTTTGTGTTTTTTTTACTCACTTTTGGAAGTTTATGACATGTCACAAATGGGTGTAGAGCTGACTTATAGCATGTTCAAATATTATCCTGCTTCCTTTCTGTTTTCATGATGGATGATTTCAGTAGTGTGTGTGTTTCCTTTTTTTGTAAAGCATTGTCAATGTAAAGCAGGAGCATATTTTGTGTGTGAAGACAAAACAATACATCTACTCAGTTGCTCTGGACCAGGATGCTGTGATTGAAGGATCTTAGATGCCCAAGTGGTTTCTAGCAAGCTTAAAAACCCGAAGCACCTCCTTATTTAAAAATGACATCTTAAAGGGTCTGTCAAACTGCTCCAGGCATTCTATTCCACAGTACACACTGAGTTACTTCCCTGTCTTTTCATCTTGAAACCAGTCAGAATTTTTTGAAGCATATTCTGCAAACAAACACATGTGTTCTTGCCCTTGATCTTAACGGGGGGCGGGGGACAGGACGACAATGAAGATGACTGCAACAGAGTACTGTGGATTTACAAGCAGTTGATAAATAAAAATTTAAAATAATATTGGACCCACACCCTAGGCCAATCCCAACCTCTCTCACCACCAAAGGAACACATGTGAATAGCAAAGAACCTGTACAAGTGATGCTGCCACAAACCCCCACATATATTAAGTAAAATAGAAACATCGTTACCCAACCCCATCCCCACTCACCTCTCCCCCCTTCACCTCTCTCCCGCTTTTCTTCCTAATGTCTCAACAAGCAAAACTGATCTGTAAAAATGTTACTTGAAAAAAAGAGAGAGATATACATTGTACATACTTTTGTAGACCAAGAAAATCTTTAATAAAAATACATTTAAAAAAGATAAGAAAATAATAATAATAATAGTAATAATAATAATAATATAGTGGTACCTCGCGTTACAGACGCTTCAGGTTACAGATGCTTCAGGTTACAGACTCTGCTAACCCAGAAATAGTACCTTGGGTTAAGAACTTTGCTTCAGGATGAGAACAGAAATCGTGCTCCGGCGGCGTGGCAGCAGAGGGAGGCCCCATTAGCTAAAGTGATACCTCAGGTTAAGAACGGTTTAAGGTTAAAAACGGACCTCCAGAATGAATTAAGTTCTTAACCCGAGGTACCACTGTAACTAATAATAATAATAATAATAATAATAATAATAATAATATTGGACCAAAGAGAAACAACTACAGCCTTATGTGTGTGCTGTTGAAATGGTCATATCTGTATTTTCATCAACTGTGGTGCTTGTTTAGGATGGAATGTCTGAATGCCTCTTTCAACAGCTATCAAAACATGCACCCCTCAAGGGCCAGTCACTGCTGTGTGTGACTCCTTCTTGGTCATCTATCAGCAATAGATAGGAATGCAAGAAGGCATTGTTCCTTATCCCATCCTGTATTCCTTGCACTGTTGCCATTCTGTTGCAGCTTGTTTTCCACCAAAAGCTATATTATTCATCTCACTATCTATTGGGGCAAAGTTATATAAGTTATGTTGTCATTATGTTGTTCCACCTCATTCATTTCAAATCAAAGACAATGAAAATGGGGTGTAGTCAGTTGCATATCATTTGTGTACTGATAGCAGCAGCAGCAGCAACAACAACAACAACAAAAAACAATTGCATTTGCTGGACTGATTTCTGTCCCAGATATGGGACAAACAAACAAATCTTTAATTGCTTTTTAATGATTCTTTTTTCAATGTTTTTAGTTGTTTCAGTTTAATCTGCAAGCCACCTTGGGTTCTTCTCTGGGAAAGAGGAGGGGTATAAATATCAACAAGAACAACAAGAATGATGTATAGATGGTACTTAACTCCTGTAAAATTAGCAAAGATTTATCACAATAATGATAATCTCTGCTGGAAATGTAAAGAAAAAGAAGGTACCTTTTTCCATATGTGGTGGAAAAGGTGAAAGACTCCTGGGAGAAGATTTATAATGAACTGAAAAAAAATGTTGAAATATACATTTATTAAGAAACCAGAGGCCTTTCTTCTTGGAATAACAGGTTTGGAACTGCCCAAGAAAGAAGTTAAATTGTTTTTGTATGCCACATTTGCTGCTCGAATTTTATTAGCTAAGAATTGGAAAACACAAGAAGTACCAACTGTGGAAGATTGGTAGATGAAGATGATGGACTTTTCGGAGCTAGCCAACCTGACTGGAAGAGTCCGCTACCAGAAGGAGGAGGACTACCAGGAAGAATGGATGAAATTTAAAGACTATTTAGTTAAATATGCTAAATTAACCTAATTGGAAAGCTTGCAAATACCAGATAGGCTTAGGATTAAAATTTATAATGTGATGAATTAATATGTTTAAAGTTGAATTGTTAAAAAAGAAAGATGTTAAGTCATTAAGTTAAACTTTTAAGAATTTAGGTTTTGGAAAACCGTTAAAATGATATATACTGAAATTCAACCGGGGGATGCAAGGAAGCCACTTAACAATGTTATGAAGTTCGATTTAATTACAGTGGAGATGTATGTTTTTCTGTTTGTTTGTTTGTTTGTTTATTTGTTTGTTTTAAAGAAAAATTCTGGAAAATCAATAACTTTTTTGAAAAAAAAACAACAAGAACAACAAGAGGTAAGAGCTGTTCAACAGTGGGATGAACTCCCCCAGAGGGTGGTGGATTCTCCTTCCTTTGAGATTTTAAAGCAGAGGTTGAGTGGCCATCTGACTTGGAAACCTTAGCTGAGATTCCTGCAATGCAGAGGGTTGGACTTGATGACCCTCAGGGTCCCTTTCAACTCTATGATTCTGTGACTCAAACTGGAGAGAAGCAGCTTTAAATGTGCACTCAGCAATGAAGATTACTGAGGGCTTGTCCACAATTCCACTTGTCTCTTGCCTGGACAGCATGGGTCTGAGCAGGTTTCTACATAGGTCTAAGCGGTTTTCTGTTAGCTGCACAAGCAATTCTGGCTTAAAACAGGACGAGCATTTTCCACTTTAAAACATCCAGTCTAGAGAACAGCATCGGATTCCTTATTATAAATCTTTCACCGTCTTATTTAGCTTTTCTGTTTGCAGGTTTGGTTCCCTCTCCCCACTGCAAATCAACTCCACCCCCACCCCCCGCCAGGCTTGATTTTTCACAAATAGGACAAGTCTATCCAAATATATTAAATATATTTACAAGGGGATGATGGAGAAAAGCATTTTAAAATACAGTGCGGTACCCAGGAGTAACATTCTGCTCTTTGACTCGTTTCTTATAAGCTTGGAATTCCTCATTCTGTCTTTTGAATTCTCTAAGCCTATTGCTGGTTGGAACAACTAAAGCCTTCTGGGCGAAATCACCAAATGTAATCTATGATTGCTGTCTTGCTTTCCAATTCACTTTGTTGATGTCCTGCAGTGGAAGCATCATCCAATTTATATTCATGCATCAGTTTATCATACCTTTCTCTCATTTACTGGGATGCCGTGAATGTGAAATGAATACTTGGTAGGTGTTCTATCCGGCGTACCTTTTTCCTACTCTGTTTAGGCTTCTGGGATGCTGAAACCAGATGAAATTTATATTACATTTCCTCCTTGGATATTCTGAATTATGCAGCCCACTTTAACATCAGGATGAAAGAAGAACTTCAACAGAGTGGATCGTTCTAAATAGAAAGGACTTTGGGCTGGTTTTTGTCACCGTTGTTGTTACGTAACAAATATATATCCTGCCCCATGGCAAATTAAATCCACAGGGTGATGCACAATACAATAATCTGAACACCCAAATGACCATTAAAGTTTGATTTGTTTTAAGATCCATCATTGACAAACAAACAAACAAACAAACAAACACAAAACCCTGCCATAAATGCAAACAAAGGGCCAAGGCTCCACCTCAAAGGCCCTTTTCCCATTTTCAATGTGCCAGGAATCTATAGGTTAGACTGCTGTAACACACTTTAGATGAATCTGCCTTTGAAATTCCAGAGGAAAAGCATGGCAAGTGTCTCTAAAGCAGGGGTCAGCAAGGTTAACCTCGCCTGGGCCAGTTCACTCCAGTGGAGATCCCTTTGTGGGCCGGATTGCGCACATGCATTAGCATGTGTGATTTCCATCTCTGCGCAGATGCGATTTTCAGCGCTGCAAAAGCCAGTCCCCGCACCGCACTGCGCTGGTTTAGTGCAGCACGGGGGGGACTCGCTGAGCAAGCGACTTGGTTCCGGGGTGGCTCGTGGGCTGGTTAAATGACCCCCGTGGGCCACTTGTGGCCCATGGGCCTTGGGTTGCTGACCCCTGCTCTAAAGAATAGGGTGACCGTGTGTCCTACTTTACAGGGAACAATCCTATACAGTGGTACCTCGAGTTACAAAGCGGGTTCTCCTTCATGGAGAGCACATGTTGCAGTGGGGGCAACCATGACATCCCCTGTTGCTGGGCGGGTTAGTGTGGATGGCCACAAATTTGATAGGGCACCTCCAATTGTTGCTGGGGAGAATTTAATGTTGCAAAATTATTTGATTGATGGGGGTGCTATTTATTCCCTGTGCGCAGCATTGAGCTTCCTCTTTTTGCTGCGCACATCGGATTACCTGCCCACCCTCCCTATATTTAGGGTTTCTTTGTGCTGACATTGCTATGCCTGTCATGGGGTCGTCTGCTTTGGAATGAATGTGGTCCATTTGGCTGATTGGCAGGTGCCATATGGTTTTTTGCCTACTGCGTAGCAAATCGTCACAACTTGTAAGGCTGCCGTTAGTCATTGGTTAATTTTGGTTGGTGGAGGGGATGTGGTTGGCTGTGCCTGCCCTCCAATGCTGCTGCTAAAGCAATCCTGGGGCTCGCCATGCTTTTGTCTGAACCCCTGGCAAGGGGCTAGGGCCACACAAGAGCCCCTGGGAACATTTGGGAAGAGATGAGAGCCTGGCACCCAGCTCTATTCTCTCCACAAAATGTTTACGCTAACTGACTTCTGCAGGCTTGTGGTTGTCAGTTCTGTTCCTACCTCTATGTGGGAATAGATAGTCGTTAACCAATGCCTAAGCAACCACTCACATACTGTAATTCAATAAAGTTGTGTCCATAATTATGCCAAAAACCAAAACAAAAATGTTGTGTGAACTGTGTCTTTAACTGGGGGTGTCCTGGGGGGGGGGGGCTTGACAGGCGAATGCCTCAGGCTACAAACTCTGCTAACCTGGAAGAGTTACCTCGAGTTGAGAACTTTGCCCCAGGATGAGAATGAAAATCGTGAGTCGGCGGCGCAGCGGCAGCAAGAGGCCCCATTAGTGAAAACACACCTCTGGCTAAGAACAGTTTCAGGTTAAGAACGGACCTCCGGAATGAATTAAGTTCGTACCTAGAGGTACCACTATATTTGAATGAGTCCTCAGTTTGAAGAACTATCCATCCAAATCTGTTTTAAAAACAAAGAAGACTTATAAGAAGGAGAGCAGAGGTCCTGACACTGCCCATCAACAGTTAGCACCAGGGACATCAGATTAAACAAGCACACAAGTCATCCGGTCAGAGTTTTCCCTACAATGATGAGATGTGTTGTATTCCTGTCAAATGCACATGCATGTCTTTGCTTTGGGGAAGTTACAGTCTCAGCCCAGTGGTGGCTGAGAGGATAAAATACATTAATTGTGTACAGGACTCTTCTGTGAGATCTTCAACACAAGGCAGGATAAAATACAACCAACAATTTACTTTATAGCTTGCCTTATGTCCTCTCCCCTTGCATGTATGTGGTTCCTCGGATGACACAGTTGTTGCTACATGGAAAAGCAAAATAAACTGGCATGGCAAGTTGGAATGCAAAACCATCAGGCAGGGAACAGTTTTGGCACCCCTCCCTCACCGCCTCTCCATTTTAAACTTGTTATATTTCTTTTTTAAAATCCATCAGAGCTTCCTTAGTTACATTTGCATGCAATGCATTTGTTGCTTTTTAGATAACGCAGTGACTTTGCAGTTGGTATATACTGACTCATCAGTCAACAACAATACTTGGTCATGCCCTAATTATATTTATAATTATAAGATATAATATAATTTCGAGCATCTCTCTCTGGTGACAAAAAAGGTCAGTCAAAATATATGGTGCAGTCAGATTTCTCACACATTCCATTTTTAATTTAGTTTATCCATGGCACATTTATTCAAAGACAAAAAGACAACTACTTTCTCGTCTCGGCACTCTTCAGAAATAACTTTTGCTTTTAGGCCGACCAACTTCTTCCATCTCTCTTTCAGATTGGGGATGATGAACTGTTTCAGGTATGCATTAAAAAGAGAGTTAAAGAGTATGCATATATTCTGTTTAATTCATCACTCTCTTCTCAGCGGAGTAAAACGTAAGAGGATGAATGCTCTGTCGAAATCAAACGTAGCATAATTTACAAAAGTTCCTTCACCTTATATTGTGAGTCACGACACTTATAGTCGAAGCCTACATTTGATAAAATCTCAAAATTTCAAAAGCACAGCCACATGCAAGTCCATACACGCCAACATTTCTCTAATGAAAATAGGGACGGCCCATTCCATAATGATAATTTTACTATTTATGCCCCCCAACATCTTACTGGGCTGCCCCAGCCATTCTGCACAGCTTCTGACACATATAAAAACATAATTAAACATTTAAAAACTTCCCCATACAGAATTGCCTTCAGGAGGCTCAGGGGTCGGAAAACTTCATACCCTCCAACTTTTCTCCAATGAAAATAGGGACGTCCTAAGGAAAAGTGGGACATGCTGGGTTCAAATCAGAAAGTGGGGTGGCTTCTCAAAATCCAGGGCAACCCTGGAAAACAGGGACACTTGGAGGGTCTGTAAGTCTCATAAAACATTGAACTCATTTCAATGTGCACAGTAGTTTATTCCACTATTCTGGCATTCCCTTAACTGTTAATTTCAGCATTACCAGTATATTTGCACTTTCAAACAATGCAAAAGCCAACATGAATAACACAAATTTAGCACTCATTTTCATGTTATTTGTAAACTCCCCGCCCCCCTCCGGAAGCAAATAATGCTGAAATGACCACTAAACTTTCCCTACTTCTGCTGTGTTTCCAGAAGTGGCTTTTACATCATGTGAAAACTCAGGTACAATGTGGGAATTAACAGTTATGGAAATGTTATGGAATTGGAACACCTGGCTATGTGAATGCAGCTCTACACATTAGGCATTGAGACTAATAAGATTTATGACCAAGTAGGGCAGTGTGGGGTGCTGGAGAGATTGCAAAAGATCAGATAGAGGGGCTTGGGGTGGAGGGGTATTGTTCAGTCTCTGCATAGCTTTTGTGTGTTCACACCCAAATACCTCCCCCCTAAATAAAGTCACACTTGACTCAAATTTTAGTTTTGGCTTTTGGCAGAATTTAGGCCACAACTTTATTGATTACAGTAGGTGAGTGGTTGTATAGGCTCTGGTTCGACTAGCTCCCTGCACCCTTGCAGGCAGCGCTGACCCAGAGCTCTATCATAGGGCAGCCAAGGGTGAACACCTGGTTAGGCAAAAGCCAGGAGCAGACTATGTTCACCTCCCAGATGACCCCCTGGACTCAGACACAGGCACAACCCCCTCTTGGGGGTTGACCAAACCAGGTGAGTCCCTGGATTTATTTAAGGGAATATCCTTCACATAGGGATGGCGAGACCGTTCTCCCATCCCTATCACCTGAATCAGTGCCTATCCGCAACCTTACAAGTTGTGACGATTTGTTATGCGGCAGGTGAAACCCAAATGGCAACAGCCAATCAGCCAAGTGGGGAAATTCCTGCCGTGCCCCTGTCCCAATGACAGACGACGCATGACGGCATAGCAAGATCAAGCACACAATGCCCTAAAAGTAGGGAGAGGTAGGTGGGTGTTCCGAATGCACGAGCCAAAAGAGAAGCTCTGGGTCACGTGCATATGTATATATAGGTCCCTCGACCCATTTAGACTGCGCCCCATTGGCCAGATTGAACCCAACATTGAGGGACCTACCAATCGGGTGTTGTGGCTGACCAATCTTACCCACCCACAACACAGGTGGTCAGTCTCCAGGTCTCACCGCAATCATGTTGTAATGGGTTTAGGGGTTGCTCGTGCGTAAGTTGCCGCCACTCCTGGCTAGGTTACCTGGTTAACCCTTTCTGACTGAACAGCCTCCAGCATCGTGACTGTCTCAGTCGCTGGCAGAATCCGTCAGTGGGCGTTTCTTGAACCTTTTCCAGCATAAAAGTTGTTTGACGCCAAGTCTCCTCCTACTCTCCCTGCGCGGAAGTCTTCTGCGCAGGGAGGGTGTGGACAGCGGAGTACCCGTACTCTCTCCGCTGGTCTCTGGCGAGGAGTCTTGGAGCCTCCTCTCCGATTCCCCCATCTGCCCCCCTTCTCCACTGGTGTTACGCTGATTTCCTTCCCCAGCAGTTGGACTGCCTCTCTCCCTACTGGGACCCTCTCCGGCATCCCTTTGGAGCCTTCCCTCCGCTTCTAGCTCCGATGGCAGTTCCCTGACACATGTCCTTTAGGGAGGACACAATGTAACTATACATAGTGCCTATAGGTAAATCCAAAGCTAGCCTGTTGTCGTTTACTTAATGTTTTTTGAATAAGCATGCTAGACCTTAAAAATAAGCCAGAATAAAGCTGGCATGTTTCCTTTCTTAATCAGGAAGAGTTTTAATTTAAAAACAACAACAAAAAGCAGATGGTGGATACCCAAAGGGGAAGGAAGGGGGGGGAGATAATCTTCTTGCCATCCTACTAGATTTAAATAGAGCAGTTGGCTGGCAGCAGTTGCAGAAGGAAAATATGTTGTTTCTTGGGCTGTGTAGCATATGTTCTTTTTAAGGCAAAACATCATTCCAGAAGTGGGAAAACAAGGATCCATTATCCTACTACCTAAGTTAAAGAGGCGACAGTCCATAGGGACATATACTAACACTTTCTAAATACGTCCCAGTATACATATCCAGGAATATTCCCTCTCCCTGTATATGGAATTTCTCTGGACCAGTTCTATAAAAGTATTCATTCTTTTGGAAGCTTCACATGCCATGAAATCAGTTGCTGCTCAAGCATCAGGGAAATTGAATATATGACAGGGATGAGGAACTTGTGATCTTCCCCATGTTGTTGGACTGTGTCTCATATAATCCCTGACCATTTTCATGGCGGTTCTAGGTTTACTCCAAAAAGATATTGAAGTCTTACTTTGGTAGGGAGGAGATTTTTTTGGGGGGGGGCAATTACTCCTGACACTATATTTATGATCATAAATAAAGACACATATAGCAATATGGAGTGATACATATCGACAGTACAGTGGTACCTTGGGTTAAGTACTTAATTCATTCTGGAGGTCGGTTCTTAACTTGAAACTGATCTTAACCTGAAGCACCACTTTAGCTAATGGGGCCTCCTGTTGCTGCTGCGCTGCCAGAGAACGATTTCTGTTCTCATGCTGAAGCAAAGTTCTTAACCCGAGGTACTATTTCTGGGTTAGCGGAGTCTGTAACCTGAAGCATATGTAACCTGAAGCGTATGTAACCCGAGGTACCACTGTACTCCGTTACATTCCCTACCCCCTACTTTTCTGTCTCCCCCCGCCCCACATCACCCTAATTTCCACTCCTGTCTCTGATTTCTCTAACATAACTAATGCAAATTAAAAAATGGCAATCATAAAGAGAGCATGGTGAAGAGAAAAATTAGTATCAAAAAAAAGTGCAAGATATTTGTATATGAGAGATTTAGGAATGTCAGGAATGAACATGGCGGATGAAACATTGTCATATAGATTTAGGGGATTTGAAAAGCATCTTTGCCTGTGTGTTAAAATGGTTTCTAATAAACTCATCCCACAGGCCCTGCAAATGTGGACATTTGCCCGGCATTTTATTTGATGAGTGCTTATATTGAGTGAGGCAACATCTTGTAAGTATGCTGTTTCATGGAAATGGAACGGAGTGAAAAAAGTCTGCTATAAAACTAGCATTTTACTGCCACGATGAATACTGCCTACCTGTTTGAAAACTCAACTTTCTTGAGGTACATTTGCATATTTGCTTTGAAAATTTGGGGATGGAATTCAACAGCATGCTAAATTAAATGTTGCTTAGTGATGAGCTAGTTACCCTAGCAGTATCTGTTGTGCAACTAATTGTGCAACTAGACACAAGGGTTTGTTTTGTTTTGTTTTTTAAAAAATAGCACATCAGTCGGGAAAGGAAAGAAACATCATGCATACACAAACACATGGAATACCTTGATGACCCACAATAAACAATGCTTCTGGTTGTGCAAACTGTTGCACAATGAAATCTGCTAGCAAAACTGTTGTACTGAATTTCACTTTGCCCAACCTCTTTTTGCATCTTTGTGCTAGAACAAAAGCCTTTGCACAGGTGGTCCAAGAACACTGAATTTACGTACTGCTGAAGAGACAAGCTGAAGAGACAAGCTTAAAAAAAGAAGTTTGCCTCTTCCGCACTGAATTTCTCTTTGCACAACCTCTTTTTGCATCTTTGTGCTGGAACAAAAGCCCTTGCACAGGTGGTCCAAGAACACTGAATCTGTGGCACTGATTTTATGTACTGCTGAAGAGACAAGCCACTGTGAAGCTTATAACAACAACAACTTATTTTTTATACCCCGCCCACCTGGCTAGGTTTCCCCAGCCACTCTGGGCGGCTTCCAACAAAACATTAAAAAACAATAGTCCAACAAACATTAAAAGCTTCCCTTAACAGGGCTGTCTTCAGATGCCTTGTAAAAGTCTGGTAGTTGTTTTTCTCTTTGACATCTGGTAGGAGGGGGTTCCACAGGGCGGGTGCCACTACCAAGAAGGCCCTCTGCCTGGTTTCCTGTAACTTGGCTTCTCGTAGTGACGGAACCACCAGAAGGCCCTTGGCACTGGGCCTCAGTGTCCCGGCAGAACGATGGGGGTGGAGATGCTCCTTCAGGTATACTGGACCGAGGCCATTTAGGACTTCAAAGGTCAGCACCAACACTTTGAATTGTGTTCGGAAATGTACTGGGAGCCAATGTAGGTCTTTCAAGACTGGTGTTATGCTGTCTCGGTGGCCACTCCCAGTCACCAGTCCAGCTGCCACATTCTAGATTAGTTGTAGTTTCCAGGTCACCTTCAAAGGTCTCCCCACACAGAGCACATTGCAATAGTCCAAGTGAGAAATAACTAGAGCATGCACCACTCTGGCGAGACAGTCTGCGGGCAGATAGGGTCTTAGCCTGTGTACCAGGTGGAGCTGGTAAACAGCTGCCCTGGACACAGAATTGACCTGTGCCTCCATAGATAGCTGCGAGTCCAAAATGATTCCCAGGCTGCGCACCTGGTCCTTCAGGGGCACAGTTACCCCATTCAGGACCAGGGAGTCCTCCACACCTGCCCACCTCCTGTCCCCCAAAAACAGTACTTCAGTCTTGTCAGGATTCAACCTCAATCTGTTAGCCACCATCCATCCTCCAACCACCTCCAGACCCTCACACAGGACCTTCACCACCTTCACTGGTTCTGATTTGAAAGAGAGGTAGAGCTGAGTATCATCCGCATACTGATGAACACCCAGCCCAAACCCCCTGATGATCTCTCCCAGCGGCTGCATGTAGATGTTGAAAAGCATGGGGGAGAGGACAGAACCTTGAGTCACCCTACAAGTGAGAGCCCAGGGGTCTGAACACTCATCCCCCCCACCACTTTCTGAACACAGCCCAGGAGAAAGGAGCGGAACCACTGTATAACAGTGCCCCCAGCTCCCAGCCCCTCTAGATGGTCCAGAAGGATGTTATTGTTATGGTTTGCCTCTCCTGCAGTGGGAACTGCACCAATGTTCATGTCACCACATGCATGGAGGACTTTAGAGCACTTGTACAAAGATGTTTTCTCCACCTGCAGTCTGCAGTGCTACAGTCAAAAGTTTTAATGCTATAGTCTACCACCTTATTTTAAAAGTGCACTGCAGAACACTCCTATTTTCCCCTTAGACTTCAAGTTTCATTGGATGGTGAGTAATTGTGGGCAAAGTGCCTTTCAGGGCAGTGGGTCTACCATAAACTCAGCTTCTCATTGAGAAATCACTGATAAGCTTCCTAGGGATTCCATTCTTTCCTGGAACATAGCTTGAGAACTATTGGTCCACACAAGGTCCTTATCTGTAAATTTGTAAAAGAGGTATATTCTACTCCTGCAAAATATTATTAATTCACATTTCTCTCCCTTAAGATAGAAAGCTGTTTTATGCAGGAAAGTGATGGACTCCCAATATCTGTTGTTACCGTGAACTTGCTTTTTTCAATATGAAGAGATAAGAAGCACATCTTCCATATTTAGAACTTGGAATACAGTAGATTGGTACTCAGAGCTCAGAGTTTGATACAGCCAAGATAGTGATTAATAGCACCTACCAAACCAGTCTCTCAAATCAATATAACATAGATGCTAATCAGAGCGTTTATTTAACCACTACTGCACATAAAAGTGCAGAAGAATGAGTTGATGCACGGCGAGCTTCATTAGTAAGATTTATTTTATATTATATCGGCATTTTCTATCTTGAGATTGTTTAATATAGCATTTTCCAATATTTTAGCAAAAATATTTTTTCCCCTGTACTGAATTAGCTTCATTCCAGAATTTCTGAATGAGCTTGGGGACTGATACAGGGAGTCCAGAAAATATGAAAGATTACAATGTAGATGGTCCAGATTCAGACCTTAAGGTATTTCTGTATGGGCGTTTCCCATATTGCTGGTTTGATACCTTGTTGCTAAATCAGACATGCCAGAAATATTACCTGTTAAAAGGATTATGTGCTGTGGAATTTCAACACCACCTCACCATGTGAAGTAACAACAACAAGAAGAAGAACAAACCAGAAACTAGGCATACCTCAAATAGATGTCATTTTATTTCTTGGTCCACAGAAAAAGAAAATGGCAGCTGGATGTACAAGCCAATTGAGCATGCAGTGTGTTACAATGAGTCTAAGCATGCTTACATGGAAATAAATCTTACCAACTTCAGTCAGAGTTACACGGATTGTTGTCTGTGTTTCGAGTGAAGATTTTGATATGCAGTTAAGTGAATTTTGTGAATTGTGCACAGGGGAAGGAAAGCAATGATTTTACAATGGAAACAAAAATTGCACAGGGTTATGAGGCAAGGCCTTTGGTCTGATCAAGAAAGGCACACCCTCTTCTCATACCTGTGTAACCCAACTGAATAAGCCACCTATCAAGGATGCAGCCCTGTTGAGTGTAGGCAGTGGCGTAGCGTGGGTTGTCAGCACCCGGGGCAAGGAAAGTAATTTGTGCCCCCTAACCCGTGGATTTTAGCAGGGGGCAGAGAGCTGTGAGTACGAGTGCGCCCCCCCCAGATGTTGCGCCCGGAGCGGCCGGCCCCCCCTGCACCCTCCACGCTATGCCACTGAGTGTAGGGATCTTCTTCACCGGCATATTCCTCTCAGGGTCTCTGAGACCAAAGAACAGTGTTTTTGTTTTTGTTTAGATACAACTGGATTCCATTTTGAATCTAGGGGTCAGACTGAACCTTTCAAGACTGCTCTGATTTTCACTAGTGATTTCAAAATTGCAGTGAGGGTTTTTTGCTTCGGAGAATTCCAAGGAATGCTGGACAGTGACGTATATGCAGTACGCCTGTAATTTAAAAAAGGTAAAGATAAAGGACCCCTGACAGTTAAGTCCAGTCGCAGATGACTCTGGGGTTGTGGCGCTCATCTTGCTTTACTGGCTGAGGGAGCCGACGTTTGTCTGCAGACAGTTTTTCTGGGTCATGTGGCCAGCATGACTAAGCTGCTTCTGGCAAAACCAGAGCAGTGCAAGGAAATGCTGTTTACCTTCCCGCCGGAGCGGTACCTATTCATCTACTTGCACTTTTTGGCGTGCTTTCAAACTGCTAGGTTGGCAGGAGCTGGGACCGAGTTACGGGAGCCTACCCCGTTGTAGGGATTTGAACCGCCAACCTTCTGATCGGCAAGCCCAAGAGGCTCAGTGGTTTAGACCACAGCGCCACTGGCATCCCAAGCCTGCAATTTACACACATTTAACTTGTGCACATTCAGCTTTATGTGCTGGCAAACTTTTAAAAAAAAAAAAGATTAAAGGGGGGGGAGGTTTGGCAAGCCCACCCATCATTGCATCCAATGTGTTTTGACTATATACAATTTTGCTTTTAGGTACGATCCCCGGAACATACCCCCAGTTAAGTTGTGGCGTTAATGTACAGTGGTGCCTCAGGTTAAGAACTTAATTCATTCTGGAGGTTCGTTCTTAACCTGAAACTCTTCCTAACCTGAGGTACCACTTTAGCTAATGGGGCTTCCCGCTGCTGCCGCGCTGCTGCTGTGCGATTTTTGTTCCCATCCTGAAGCAAAGTTCTTAACCCGAGGTACTATTTCTGGGTTAGCGGAGTCTGTAACTTGAAACGTCTGTAACCTCAGGTACCACTGTACTGCTTTTCATGAGAAAGGCAGTTGAGAGAGAGAGAGAGAGAGAGAGAGAGAGAGAGCGCGCATGCAATAAAAAGCCAGTGACAATAAATTAAAATATCCAAAAAAATTCAGAGCTTCATGAGAAGCATAAAAATCCCTGAATAAATTTTCAACACCAGCACTGTAGGTGCCTGCCACACCCCTGTGAAGCTGATGAATGTTGCAATTCCGGCTGTTCCTTGGCTGTTCCTGTGGTGTCCCTGGAAACATATGCAGCTTCCCCTTAGGATGAAAGCTCAGGCAGATTGTGTGATTACATGTCATTCTAAGGACACATTCCCCTAGTGGGGTCAGCATCATTAGCATGGTGTATAGCTGTGCAATCTGCCCTAGCTAGAGCTGTTAGCAAATGGCCTTTCAAAAATTCTCCACTCTATTAATAAGCAGAGAAAGTGGGATGGAAGATTTTATTGAATTTATTCTGGGGGCAGAAACATTCTCCAACATCTTCTTGGATGTTGGGGGTGGGGAGAGGGGCCATTAGCAAGGAGTTAGCACAGATTCTTAATTTGTTTCCCAATGTTTATTGTTGCCAGTGTGAGTGATAACAGTAGCACTTTCATCGGCAGCCAGGCTGCCATTTTGCATCGCCAACGATATACTGCCCTCAATCTAGAATCATCCTATGGAATGGGAGTGGAGGGAATTGGGAAGGCAGAACACCACCCACCTACACCTGGGCAAGATTTGTAGAAACTATGCAAAATTCTTCTTTTTCTCGGAGAGTGCGAAAAAGAGAGCAAAAATCTCAGACGTTTGCTCACGAAAAAAAAGACTTCTGAGAAATTTTGGCTCAGCTTTAGCTTTAGCCGCGTGTATAGAAATTGACTTTGTTATCAGATGTGGCATGGGGGCAGCTTTGTGATGGTGGTCAAAGTGAAACTCAAGTGGAACTTACCGCTGCTCCCCCCACCCCCTGAAGAAAAGATGGTATGAATTCATATTGGGCTATATGTCATTTTAACAAATAAGGAATCAGCTATCTGGGCTGAGGACCAAATCCCCAGTGTCCATTATTTTTTGCTATCCACTGATGATCTGATGTCAAGTTTATCTGAAATACGATGGCATCACTGCTGTCTACCCGTTGTTTCCCCAAAGACAATGTATATATTAGGGTAGGAGTGATAGCTGCCTTGAAACTCGAGACAAATTTGTTACACATAGAGACAGACAAACACAAAAGGAGCTCCAGATCAAATGCAAATAAATGAAATATTCAACTGGCTCAGGTTATATGTGTGTTTGTGTTAAAAGCTCTGATTTGCAAAATCTAAAGACACTTTCTTTCAGCAGCCGTCTCTCCCTCCCGTGTGCCCAAATAAATGGAGATTTCCATATCTGAAGAATCTGATACTTCCTGCTGCCATGGAAACAAAAAGAATAAATCCCATGCAAGCCCTTACAATGCATGCTGATGACAGCAGGGATGAAGAGTGAGCTAAGAACAAGCCTAAGAATATAAAAACCAACAAGTATGGAACAAAGGAGAAGTTACCTGTTGTATACAAGGTTCTATATTTTGGAGGAAGCATGTCTTATTCTATTGTGAGGTGAGGAAGAAGAATGAGTAGATGGGTGATATAGATGCTCCAGGATTCTCAAAAGTGAGCAGCTATCCTAAACAGAATTGCCTCTGGATCAACAGAAATGTCTTCACACCTTCCATTGCTCTGATGACTCTTCCATCATGAGTAGTAAGGCCCAATAACAAGGCAAGTACCTCATTTCTTGCCTGACTTCCGATGGCTGCCATAAATCTGTGCTGTTATTACAAGGCTTCTGTTCTCACCTGCCACTAGAGGAGAATGAAAGAGCCTCAGCTTCCTTAGGAAGCTGATTCAGTTACAATATCTTATGAGTCCCCCAGTGGAGATAGAAGAGAGAAGAGGAAGAGTTGGATTTGATATCCCATTTTATCACTACCCGAAGGAGTCTCAAAGCAGCTAACATTCTCCTTTCCCTTCCTCCCCCACAACAAACACTCTGTGAGGTGAGTGAGGCTGAGAGACTTCAGAGAAGTGTGACTAGCCCAAGGTGACCCAGCAGCTGCATGTGGAGGAGCGGGGAAGTGGACCCGGTTCACCAGATTACGAGTCCACTGCTCTTAACCGCTACACCACACTGGCTCTCATCTTGATCATCTGTATCATCTGGTTCAAAAGTAAGAAGGGTGTTACCTCACATAATCAGATGCAGCTGTACAGTAAAATCAGATGCAGCTGTACAGTAAAAAAGCTGTACAGTATCTATCTATTCCACAGTTTTCAGAGGAACATTAGATTGAGGGATAGCATAATATTCATTGAAAACTCTTATAAGTCCATTGTGGACATGCCAGTATTGAGTCAGTGGCTCATGTGAGGGCCGGATTTAGGTTTGATGGGGCCCTAAGCTACTGAAGGTATTGGGGCCCTTTATATGTCCAGCTGTCCTTTGTCAACAACAAATTGTCGCCGTTTTTTGTGTTGAATATATGCTAGACGGTAATTTATGGACCTAATAGGTCCATACACAAAACAAAACACTGTTGCTGTGTGTAGATTTTCTTTTACTGTATTTGTTTTTTATCTTATTTTTTGGAAATGTACACCCAGGTTTTTTTCCTTTAATTTTTTGGGGGCCCGCAAGAGTGGGGCCCTAAGCTGTAGCTTGTTTAGCTTATACGTAAATCCGGCACTGGCTCATGTGCTCCTGGCTTGCACTCTTTATAAAGATTTGAGGAGTGAGATTATTGCCCCTCTGTTATTGTCCATGCCAGGTCGCTCAACCATTGCTACTGTGTGCTTTCTTTTGGCACAGCCTTTCTCAACCTGTGAGTCCCCAGATGTTGTTGAACTATAACTCCCATCACCCCTAGCTAGCAAGGCCAGAGCTCAGGGATGATGGGAGTTGTAGTCCAACAACATCTGAGGACCCACAGGTTGAGAACCGCTGTTTTAGCAGATCAAGATGATCAGCAAAAACTGCAAGGTTTTTAGCGGGGGCGATTAAAATAAGATCTATTTTTTGATTATTGATGTAAACCCCAAAATGTATTTTCTATAGTTAAGTTTTTACCTCTATCTTCAGTACATTCTACTTTATTTTATTGCTATGGCTTCTTCTTCTTCTTCTTCTTCTACTTCTACTTCTACTTCTTCTTCTCCTCCTCCTCCAAAGTAACTACAGGAAAGAAGGTTAAAACTTTGAACTTTAGAAAATCCTAGTGTGCTAGGTGGCTAGCCAGCCACCAAGAGCATCTCATTCAAATAAATGAACAAACAAACAAAGAGAATTGAAAGGCATACAATTCTACAGGGTGGAAATGTTAATGGTGTAGGTGGGAAGATCAACTGAGTTGATAGAATAATGAGTTTTGAGTGTCTCTAATGAAATGCAATGGGGGAGTGGGGGCGGTAGCTAGCAACAAAGGATCCTCTCATGGCAAGAATTCAAGGCACTGTTCCCTTTCCATGGACAAGGAAATTGTAAAGTCATTCTTGACTACCATTCCTGACTACTC